GATGCAGCTTAAAGTCAAAGAGAGTTTTGGATTGATATGGTATTAAAATAAGGTTTAAAGTCATGATGCTGTTAGAATAATAAAACTTAGATGAAAGATCAATATTTTTAAGACCAAAGAAATGTGGACATTCTTAAAGGTGGAAATGCTTAGCCAGGTAAAGAGCGTCTGTTGTTAAATTTACAGACAAGTTCAATTTAAATTTCAAACAGTTCAATTTACATTAACTGCCAGATTTTGTTGTTATTGAACTGCGTCATAAATGTTGCAAAGAAATAATCAAAAAAACAGACCAGGATCTCTGACCAGTCATAAGGCATGAGAAAATGACCATAAAATGTTGACTTCCAGTCCCTCATTGCAAGGATTTTGTGATTTGTAATTTTTTGCAATAAAAATAATTGATTTTGCAGCATTACTTCATAAATATTTGAAATATTATATGAAATTTTGAAATATTTATTTCTTCAGTAAGACCTTTCCAAACACACTTTTTTACAAGGTGTGCAAAATAATTTCCTGCTGGCTGCTGGATTGAAACAGCAGCTACTAGGAAGCTCCAACAGTACAGTCTGTACTGAGGAATCTTGGGGAATGTGTATGAGGTGGAGCAGCTCTGCAAACGTGAGACACCTGATATGTTTCCAACACCAGATCTGTGAATGCGCAAAAAAGCAGCTTCACACAGTTCCATTCAGCCTACTCGTAAGAATATTGTTTATGTCCTGCTTCCAGGTCAAAGTAAAGACGGACTAAATGAAATAAAAAATAATTGGTCTTTCTCCCATTCTAGTTGTCATTTTGTAGGAGTTGCTCTCTCCTGTTTCTTTACCTACTTAGTTTCCTCTACATCACCTCTTCCACTTCAAACACAACAGTTATAGGTAGTTGTAAGCATGTGAGATTTTGTCACAGTTTTACTGTAGTCGAATATATTAATTACTGTTCCTAGATGTATCCTTCCAGTGTACGTAAATAGCTAACATAGTGGACATAGACTAAGCGATAAAGTCTCAGGACAGCTTAGCGTGTCAGCCAAGTGATCTCTGAGTAACACAGGTCATTAGCTTAAAGTAATAGCCTTAGCGTTAACATGATGAATAGACAAAGGGTTAAAGCAAAGGTAAATCAGAGTTCACAGCCAACATGCTTAGTGCCACTGGGTACACCTGTCATATGGCATGTAAAGCAGTTCAAATCAAATCTCACTTCATGGCAAAGGAGAGACAGACATTTTTGTGCGGATAAGTTCACAATAACTTTGGGTGCCAAAGACACATGTTAATGTTTAATGTGACTGGCCCCACGGATGGACAGAATCAATGCCAGATCTCTACAGTCCAGTACTTTTCAGTAAGCAGATGGATTAGCCCTTTATTATTCAGTAGTTTGGTTGTCTGTGCCTCCAAAGAGATAAGGCTTATGACGTGTCGTAAGAAAAGATTAAAGGGTTAACCCACGGTCACAGCCAAAAGGGAGTACCCTCTAAAACTACTGGAAATTAGAGGGTGACAGTTAAAGATGTAGTTCACCAGGTTCAGCAGTAAGACCACAGACTAAATTAAAAAGTTTCAGAAACTACCTGTCTGACAACATCTATCAAGTTGTATAGCACATTTTCAGCAACAAAGCAGAGAAATCTACATCATAAAACAATCATACAGTCATCGATTATGAAACAAGCAATGAACATTACATTCTGTAAAATGCCTTGATCCAAATTATCAAGCAAAATACATCAAATATGAGAGAGATACTGCCAGTTAACATCACCACATAATGGCAGCTATTGCTGGTGTCCTGGTTGTCCACAACCGTACTAGTTTTTTCAAGGCTATTAAATTATTGACCCAGACTAGGTTGATTTGGGGTGATATTTTTTGTCTAATAAAATAAATCATAAGCTTTCAAATAAGTTTTTGATTTGACTGAAGTCATCTTTGTCTGATAATAGAATGTGTTAAAAAGACCTGAAACATTTAAGCATGGCAAAAAGGCAAAACTCTTTATGGAAGAAAATGTGACACTGTAAAGGAGGCAGTACAATACAGTCTGAGTGGGGATTCAAATTTGCCAATTAAAAAAAAAGAAAGTCTGGAAGTGAGTGCTTTCCTACTGTGGCACAGTCTTATGAAAAAGTTGGAACTTCTCATTAAATACTTATTTCTTTGATAAGAAATGTCATTTTGATTTTGATTTCATTTCCTATCTCTGGACACGAAACTGATTTAAAAGCACCTTGTACAATTAATCTTGCTTTACTCATTAAACAAAGGAATTAAGCAAAATGTGTATTCTAACCGAGGAGAACATCAAGAAATCTATCCCTGCAAAGCTAGTCTCAGCCCCTGTTGCTGAAATAATTCAGTGAGATGCTTCTTGTAGTCATTTAAAAGTCTCTAACAATGTTCTGAGAAAGGTTTAAGGAAAAATTTGAGGAATATTTTGGCCCACTCCTCAAACATCCTCTGATGCAAGATGTAATTCCTGGTGAATTCTATAATCCCGCTGCAGCTTCTTTTCCTCAGGCAAAATGGGGCCCAAAAAAATGTAAGTGTCACTGAAAGGTCCAAATATGTAAAAAGTCTTTCAGAAGATATTGAGGCAACCATCAAACATTTTGCTGCAAAGTCAAAAGGATTACAAGACGTGTTGAAAAAAAAGATGTAAATGAATTAAGAATAAAACGTGAAGCTACCAGGCTCCATCATCTTCCAGTGCGGTCATATTCTAGAACTGCAACCTACCTGGAGTTACCAGAAAGACAAGATGTTCAGATCTCAAATACATGGTTAAGGTAAAGACCAGCACTTTTCAAAGGTTTTATGGACTGATGAGATGAGAGGAACTGATCCAGTAATGGGCACAGAGCTACACTTCACATCAGATGCCAGCAAGGTGTAGGAGGGGTGCTGGTATGGACTGGTCTTATTAAAGATGAGCTAGTTGGACCTTTTCGAGTTGAAGATGGAGTCAAAATCAAACATACTGCCTACTGTTTTCATAAGACACTTTCTTCAAGTAGTGGTACAGGAAGAAATCTGATGAACTGATCGAAGGTAAGCCAGGTCCTTCAAATGTCACAGGCCATGAACCTGGAGACACCCTATGTAGCAAAAACATGCTTTGCAGCAGTAATAATATTAGGTTAGTTTGATATTGTACTGTTTTTTGTAACTAACTATTCTCTTGCAATAGAGAAAATTTGATCTCAAGAAATTTTACCATGGATAATTAAACCAGGATAAAACTAAATGGTCAATATGAAATGCAGTAACCAGCAGGCAGTTGAATTAAACATTAACATTAAACAGTTTTTTAAAACCAAACATTTGTCTAAATGATATATTTTAGTTATACTTGCCTACACTAAGGTTTAGCCCAACCTGTTCTTTGACAATAAAACTGCTGGAGCTTTTGCTCTTCTTTCATGGTAGCAATACAGCGATGCATTAGCATTGCAAACACTGCAGAACTGTGTGTCATCTCTGGACGGGTAGATGCAAAAACACCCTGGAACTTCTCTGCTTTTCAGTGTACTGCGTAATTTTACATGGGTCATTTCCACATGCACACCAACAACAGATGCATGTACAGATTATTGAACTATAAGATAGTTTCTTTACAACTGATGATGTTTGAAAAAGGAACAAAACCAAGAATAATTGCCAAGCACTGGATCAATGAGAGACAGAGTCAGGGACGTACTTTTTGACATGCGTCACACAATACTGGTGTTTTACATCTACCTCTCTGAAAGTTAACTTAATATGTTTTAATCTCTTTTCATTTTTAATTTTTCTACAGTAAGTTTTAGATACAGTGCATATGGATTCACAGTGCTCACTTTTCCACATTTTATTATGTTACAGACTCATTCAACATATTACATCATTTATGTAATATGAAATATTACATAAATGATGTAATAAAATAAATTCTACATACAAATACCCCAATAACACCACTATGACGATGTGAAAAAAAGTTTTGAGATTTTTGCAGCCAGATTTGAACTGGACTGAACATCTCTAGAGAGATGTGAAAATGGCTGACAGATCTATGTCTCCAACCAACCTGATGGAGCTGGAGAGGAAGTGCAGAGAAGAAGGTGTCAAGCTGCCAAAAGATCAGTGAGATGATCTGGAGGCACCAGATTCAACGATTAAGAAACATTAAGTCAACAAAGTATTAACCAAAGGCTGTGAATACTTACATAAATGTGATTTTTTGTTTTTCTTTGCTTAACAAATTTGTAAAATACTCAAAACCTTGGAAGTCTTATTTAGCAAGTATCAGTTATTGTTCATATACAAGACTTCTCTTTTCTCTACTTTAGAGCTGCATCTTTAAAAAGTCTGGCCTACCGATTCCAATTTTGGCCAATATTGATTTTTTTGATCTGAAATGTCTCTAAATATAGCAAGAAAGTTGCTGGCAACAGGGGGATGACTATTGTTAACCGCAAATGTGCAGACATGACCTGGTGGGCCGGCCTGTTAGTCAAACCTCTGTCACAGAGAACAAAAGATGACAGTAGTTCATTTTTACAACTTTGATGAGGCAGATAAGATCAGTGGAAAAGATCGGCTTCACATGCAAGTATCAGCTGATCACTGATCTTCCAAAATAAAGGAAATTGATACTGATAAATAGGCTGGTCAATAAATCGGCGCACCCCTACTCCATGTATTCCTCAAACTAGCCCAACCTAACTGGCCCTGGTAACCAACCATTGTGTAAACTATAAATTATTACTTATTTGTTATTTATTATTTTGTTTCAGTGAGATACACTGATATAGTAGCTTGTAAACGTGTTCAGTGTACGCATACTTCAAAACAGCATATCTCCTCACAAACATCAGTTCGTTGGCTGATGAAGAAACCTGTTGGACTTCTGATATGCTATTCTGACATGGCATGTCGAACCAACAGAACACCGGCATCAAGCAGAAATGGACTAAAATCTAACATCTAAAATAACGTGAAAGATCTTACCGTGAGATGGTTCTGGGATGGGAGCAGCCGGGAGAGGTCGCTGGGACCTTAGTTGACTTGATGGATGGGCCATTTTGATGGGACCAACAAATTTGACGAAGGTCCCTGGAAAGTCGCCTCTCTGCTTGGTACGTTCGTTGTATCCTAGAAGCCAGCCTAGACGCTCCGGGTGCTCCTCGAAGCCCTCCTCGTAGGTCTGCACTGACATCAGAGAGGCCTTGCTGACGGTCAGGAGGTCCCCTGGCTGCAGGTCCAAGTCCTCTTCCTGGTCCTTGGTAAATGTGTAGAGCACACGATATTGGAAACCATTTGTCGCCATTTTGTTGAGTGGAGGAGTTCCTTTTTTTGTCGATAATGGAATCCTGCTCAGAAACTGAAGCTGCTGCTGAGTCACTAAAGGGAGGTGTTGGTGCTGTGGTTTCTAGGCTGGGGGGTTGAAGGAAGGACGGAAAGTCACCCGAAGCTTAGAAGCATTTTTACTAGTTTATAAGGTGGCTGCTGTAATGGCTGTGGTGGCAGCTGCTTCAGAGCTGACCAGTGTTGCTGGACTGCTGTACTTTCCTCAGTTTGATACCGCGGTTCAGCCAAATGATGGAGCAGAGGGAGAGCGTCGGCAACATACTCCTGTAAGCAGAAAAAACCTTGAGACGGGTCCTAGTTTTGTGTTCTGATGAAAGCTTGCGCCAAGCCAACAGCCCAGTGTCGGTGGATCTCCACGCTCTAAATAGATGGATTGGAGGAAAAATGTTTGGAGTAGAGAGCTTTTAAATCCTTTAAGTTTGCTGAAATGTAGCAGAAGGAATAACTGACCTGCATAACAAAAACAAGAAACAAAGAACAGAAACAAAAATAAGTTAAACAAGTCATGCTAATTTGAAAATAATAATAAAAAAAGATGTTACAAAATAATAACAGTTACGGGTAAAAGGATGATGCTGTTCGATAAATACCCAAAGAAAAGCAGCGCAGACCTACGTGAAACGAAGCTAAAGCGATGCATGAAAATGGCGAACTGCGACAGCTCCATGCATCTGTGCAGTCTACACTTAGGAAAGAGAGCTCGGATGATGATGCTGCGTCATAGCCAACAGCAGACTGGATCCTGGACTGGAGCTTTAGCTAAATTCACTCCCCCCGCAGAACACCTTCCACAGGAACAAGTTTCACTATGAAATAATTGTTCTTTCAAAATGCACATCAACAAGCCTGACGAACAGAAGTGAAAGGAAGGATTTTGCATTATGAGCATGCAATTAAAGACATGAACCACAAATTAGGCAGAATGTTCCTAAAAAGGCAGGACGTTTTGCCACAGTTGTTCCTACATGGGACAGAAAAGCAGTAACTGAGTTGATTCAGACCTGTTTTGGTTTGCTTTAGTCAAAACACTTCAGTCACACTCTATCACATTTATTCTACACACGATAAAGCTAGTTAAAAACAAATAGTCATTAATGTATAAAAATGTATATACACAAATGCAGCAAATACATCATCAGGTATTATGTGTAATTGAAAACCACAATATAAATAACTGCAAAGCCTAATGAAATGCACACAGCATTTCATTAGCATGCGAAAGAAAACCGCTTAAATAGGTTGTTTATTGTCATAAATAAGAGGACTTTTCTTTGTTGTTCTGTCTAATAAATGAAAGGCGATTATTTTGAAATTATCAGTCTAAACATCACAGACTGAAAACAATATTATAGAATCTCTGGTGAAATATGGACCAATCATAAGTCTATTTCGCAATCCAAGAATGAGACTAAGTACGAACTGGTGCCTCATTGCATTTCAAAACAAAAATTATGAGATAGATGAGAGATTACCATTTCCAGATTAAGCACGACATCTGTAGTTTGTGGACCTGGCAAGGACAACGGTCCTATTAAAGTCTAAACAGAATGAAATGATGTCTGAGGAGCAGGAACAAGAAGGAATAAAAAGTGGAAGTGGCAGAATAGTGACTGCGATCATCCGGTTGTTTTGGTTTATTTGCTAAAACAAAATTTGGGGTCTTTTCCAAAATGGCTAAATCTGTCAACCCGAAGGCCTTGTCTGCGAGGCCTGGTGTATGCCATCGTTTCAGAAATCTCCATGAATAGACAACATGTGCAGTGATGGTGCACAAAATAATCAGCTAAACGTCCAGTCTGCATGCATGAATCCAGAAGTGCATGCTTCTAAACCTTAGACTAGTTATTCTCTCTTCCCCATGGCATTCCGAATGCGTGCGCACGTTTACTGAAAATGCCTTGCGAATAAGAAAATACATATATAAATAATTCAATATTTGGATTTGAAAGAGAATGTTTAAGGTTAGGGTGATACCCAGATGCAGGATCGTGCAAACTCACCCCACTTTTTGCTCAGAGAGAAGCTGGGCAGGCTCAGCAAGATTCTCAGTCCCACATCCTCCGGATCGACAAGCAAGAAGTGCCAGGCTAGACACGTGGCACTGGCATACCCAACCACAGCCCGCAATCCTCACACCACCCCCCTGCCCCCCCCACCCAGCCAGAGCCAAAACTCCTCTGCCTCATCTCTCCACCTGCTCCTCACCCCCCAAACCGAGCCCATAAAACATGCAAAAAGTCCAGCCTCCTACTGTCCCCCCTCCCTTCGCTGTCATCCTGAGAAAAAGTCCTGTTGTTTTTCCAGTTGCCATGTTTTGTTTACGTTCAATGAAATGCAGCATGAAGAAGGCAAAAAAAAAAAATCAAAGATTTTGAAATAGCTGAGCATAAGTTTAATAGTAAGTTCCAGAGTAAAACAAGTCCTGCGAGGTTGAAGACTTTGTTACGGTCCAGGTGTCTTAGTTTTGCATTACAGGTCAGTACAGCAGCTGGTCAGCTCGCCATCCGCAGATCCATTCCCTTTTAGACACCTTCAGTCTGGGTGGAGAGCAGCAGAAAGCAGGAAAACGGCAGAGCAGGAGACGAACGGAGCACTTTCCTACCAGCACAGTCCACGCAGCAGAGGGAGACCACAGGAAAATAAATAATGAATAGGCAGCAAGTAACTCACTGTTGCTAGAGAGAGGGAAAGCCAGTCCTGCACTCTGATTGGTCAACGGTCTGGCCATGTGCTCCACAGTCACCAAAGAAGCGGGGCAAATCAAGAAAACGTTCTAATATTAGAAAATGTTTCTAGGCAGTGATCAAACATCCAAGCCAAAGAACTCCAGTTTTTTCCCCAAACTGAGCTTCTTCAAGTCTTTCAAACCAAGGTTTGAAAGACTTGAGGTGACAGCTCATGACTTTAGTATTATTTAGTAGTATTGTGAAACAAAACATGGAAAGACTCATGTGATTGGAGAGATCCTCATGAGTCATGCTGTAGGGGCAAATAGACAATGTCTGCAGTAACAGTAAAGTGAAAAATGCTGCACAAATAATCAGTAAGAGATCAAATTTAAGAATAATATAAATAAAGCTTTTCAGACTCTCATAATTTTATAAACTCCAAGCTTGAATCTTTTTCAATGTGCTGTTATGAATAGCAAATGGATTTTGTGTTTCATTGAAGGGATCAACTGTTTCAAATAACAATATTCTTGAGATTTAACTATTCTCTTTCACTGGATGATTTTCTGTTTCATGGTATCCTCTAAGCACAAAAACCAAGGCGGAAGGCGCTAATTAAAAAGGTACAAAAACTAAACCAAGGAAATATGTGCAGAATAAAAAATGTTACCAGTCTGAGACACAGACTGATATGTTCATTTGTTCATAATTTTGGTTAGTATGAGACATGAAGCCGACAGTACAGTTAACTTACAGTAAGTTAACTGGATTAAATACCAGAGGCCTTTCTGTGTGGAGTTTGCATGTTTCACCCAGGCATTTGTGAGTTCTGTTTCAGGTTCTCTTCAGGTTCTCCAGCTTCGTCACACAGACTGTTAGGTTAACAGGAGCAGCCCCCAATGACTGCTGGAGATAGGCACCAGCCCCCAGCTGGCTCTTCTACCTGCAACAATAAGCAGGTGGAGACAATGCATGGATATGAAATGAAAAAAGCATTTTGTAGGAGTGAAGTTGGCTGCTGCAGAACTGACTGGAGATTCAGTTTTGATTCTTTTTACTTTAAGGACAAGCTTAAAGTAGCTCTTTTTTTTTTTTTTTTTTTTTACAAATCCAGTATACCATTCAGATGTATATGAATGGACCATACAGCAAAGCTGTTGGGAGAATTCTTCTGATCAAAAGACCTTTATGAGACTACCAGTGTAATGTCACATCTCAGATGCTGTGTGGTGTTTAGGACCAGCAGAACCAGCAGGTACCAGCACTCTGAATATAATCACTGGATCATCAAAAGAATTTCTAAAATTAATTTAAGTTTTAAGTTGTTGCAGCTCTGCTTATTGTTTTAAGTCCTAAAGAAAATTCTAATGTCATTTTATTAACTAATTTTGTAACATTTAATCTCTAAGAAGAACATATGTTAATGATTCACTGGGATGCTCATTTCTAGACTAAACTGAGTTACATTTAAAACTGTGTCAACATTGGTTACTTGTCAGCTTCTTCGTTTCTTTTATTTTCAAAAAAGGTATTTTACCTAAAAAAAGTTTGTGCAAAATTTGCAACAATATTGCTTGTTTTTTAGATTATCAGAAGAGATGAAAAGTGAATACCTTTTTACATTCACAGTACACCCAAGGTTATGAAAGTTTCTCGTATCTCCTGGAATTTTTCTGATAGCAATTTTTCTGGTGCCGCCGCCATTTTTCTTTTCAATGTCACAAACCTCTCGTCTCTACCTTCATCTGTCAGCTCTGTACACCAGTGTGTCTGTGTAGTCTGCTCTGTTTCTTTTACACAGCTCATTTCGAGCACCAACTTGTGGCTGGAGGCTTGTTTGTCGTTCTGGCGTATTGTGCCAGAACGACAGCCACCCAACCAACACCTCAGTGCACCCCACTGAATGCCAGCATTGCAGGAACTGCTCCAGTACGCACAGATGGTGATCTGTTGTCTGTTTTGAGATAATATAAAAAGAGCAGCAGGATATCAAGAACAGGTGACTTATTTTAAAATCTCAGATAAACACACTTAGGCCTTCATTAAACAACTACATCAGTAACATAAATTTAAGGGAGACTCACCTGTCACCATGAATGACAAGTAAAATAGGTTCCGTATTTTCTGGACTATGAAATTGCATTTATTTTAGTTTTCCTGTGTTTTTTCTCTTCATGAAGCATTTTCGACTGAGAGTTCCACAATCTGTTTAACAAATTTAATGAATGTGTGTGACATCTTAGAATTTCTGATTGGCCACAAATGGGAAGAGACAAGGTTCAAGGTAAAGCAGAAAATACCGTGCCACCTTGGTAGGGGGCAGTGATGAGCCCCATGCACACTGAAAAGACAGAAAACAATCAGAAAAATATAAAAATATATATTTGGAATAGAACCCAACCAGGAGGACTGGTCTCCATGGCAATCATTTCCACTGAAACATTCAGATGTTGAAAAATGAAGGTAAACATGGAGGATTTTCATGATGTACATGGAGGATAGGCAGATATGCATATGCAAATGAAGGTTAGAGTTTACATAAATTTCAATTTATAAAAGAGAGCCAAATAACCTAATATGACCTAATATTAAATATTTTGTGTTCTATTGTTTTGTTAAATAGCATGGAATTGATTAAAGCTTAATTAGAAGTATCAAAGCAACTAAGCATTTCAATTAAGGTCAAAATTTTAATAGTTGGGCCTTATATATTTGTACATCCAACTACAAAGAAGTCAGCGCCTACCAGCCATGATGAACCTCACCAGTTTGCTACATATTACTAATCTGGGCATCACAACATACAAGACAGCATGTAATTAACACCAAATGATCTAACTTAAAAACTGTCATTAACTTTATAAGCAAAATATTAGGTAGCTGCTTTGTTATCCTTATGTTCCCTTGGTGATGGATACATGTTGGCCTCAGTCAAAAATGTCCATATACTGTTAGTGAGTTAATAAAATGTATTAAGATGCCATAAAAAATATTTTTTGCAACACGTCCAGGCTGCTAAAAAGCACAAGACGTACAGCAGAAAACAAAAAGGGTGAACAGAGTACAGCAAATATGATTTTTTAAAATCTTTTTCAAATTTGAAAATGTGGAGATGTAAAACTTGTGGGTAGGCCTGTCGATAAATTTTGCTGAGCGATTAATTGCCTCAAAAATTATTGTGATAAATGATAATATTGTTTGAAGACCATTTTAAACTGATTTAATCGATATAACGTAGTAATACATGCGATTTCCTGCCAAAGATAGACTTTCTTGTCAAAAGAACACTTAGGGCGACTGTGGTTGTGTGGCAGAGTTGTCGTCTTGCAATCGGAAGGTTGTAGGTGCGATTCCAGCTTTCTCCTGCCATATGTCGATGTGCCTCTGGGCAAGGCACTTAACCCCAAATTGCCTACCGGTCTGCGTATCGGTGTATGAATGTGTGTGTGAATGGGTGAATGTGACTCTAGTGTAAAGCGCTTTGAGTGGTCAAAATGACTGGAAAAGCGCTATATAAGTTCAGTCCATTTACCATTTACCATTTAACACCGGAACTGATGAACAAAATAAATAAAACAACCAAAAACAAAAATGAAATGGATTCTCAGTCTCCATTAACAAAAAATGTACTTGAATAAAAACTAAACAACATAAAGCCAAAGTGGAAATAAATACTGCACTCAACCAAAAGTGTGCAGATTATGAAGTCTGCATACTGTATTGCCTTTCAGTAATCATTAGATTAGTAAAAAGGTCCAACACCCAGAGTAAGAGCTGCAAGAATGTTGACGTAAAACCAAAGCAATACATGCACGGTCAAGACTTCCCAATGCTGACCAATGGGATAACGGTCCCTATAAAAAGGGGTTGATGATAAGGAACGAGGAGATTTTGGGAAAATACTTTTTGGAACAATGATTTTGTATTGATGCATCCGTGGTAGAAGTGATAATAAATCTCCCGACCCGTCGTGGCTGGCAGTGAAGGACTCGTCTATGAGTATTATTTGTTTACTTATATAATCAAGAGTTTTGCACCTTCCGATTCTCCAACAGAGACTGGCACATCCGACTGCTTGAGGCAACAGTTCACACTACATTACCCCGATTGTCCTCTTGCAACAATCTTAGAATGTTGGGTGTTCTAAGATTGTCGCTTGTGATTTCGTAACCAATCATCCTGGAGTGTGTGGTGTATTACGGTAGATCATTGTTGCTGCTCCGATCTAAATCAGGGATTTTCCCCGACTGGGAGCCTTAATGCAGCCTGTTGAATGTGACAAGTAGCCTCTGTACTTTCTGAGGGGAAATCAATAAGGGGAATCCCAAACAGCAGAGACGGTGCAACCCGAAATCCAGCGGACATTGGAGATGATGTGTGGAAACAACATTAACGTTTATTCAACATTTTGTGCAAAGAATATAGAAATGACAAGGGGAGTAGTTGAAGCGAATTTGCTACCTCAGTTGATAAACCTGGTAACCTTTCAGCTGTTCTTCGTTAACGTGACAGAAATAGGTTATAATGATATTCTTTCAGTCAGGACTGACACCAGCCACATGCCTTGCAGGTAGATTGTAGTAAAGCATTGATTAATGCCTGGTTTTAAAATGAGTTAATTGGACTTGAAGCCATTATTTTTGTGCCCATTGTTGGACTCCACAAGGCAGGATTGAACCTGATTGAACCGTTATACACAGGATTTCGGTTGGCTAATATGTGGTCTCTCAGGTTTTGAAAATGGGCCGACAATCGGAAGATTGTGTAGTACGTACTGAACTTTACACTAAGGAAATAAGGAAGGGAGGGTCAGTGGAGAGCACCGGAGTTGAGCCTGTTTTCACTCTGTGTCATCAACAGAAAGAGAAAAAGTCCGGAAGAAAAGCCGATAATTAAAATGAGGTCGATAGTTTTAATTTATTGTGCGATTAATTGATTTATCGTTTATCACGTCAGGCCTACTTGTCGCTTATGAAATATTGGACACCTCAGAGTTAAGGATCTAAATTCTATCAGGAATACATATAAAAACTATTGCTAATCATGCTAGCCGCTAATCTGAAATGGTAAAAATTGCTAAATGTAAACACTGTGACCAATTCTTTGTTTGTGAAACCCTTTTCAGAGCAAGTCTCAGACATTTTTCACGTATAGATAGCTGCTCAGTGCTCATGCCCAGAAAGAGAGAGAAAAAAAGATTTTAATGCCATTTGTTTATTGTTTTTCTTATAGTTCTTAAAAAAATAGAATATGACAAAATTGATATTGGAAGGTCAAAACTTTATAAAATTGAGATTGACAGTCTGCCACAAATCCTGATCAGTGCAACTTTTAAATAATCTTCAGTGTCCCATTTATACACAGAAAAAAAAATGTTGAAGCAAAAAATGTCTGTCACTGCCAAAAGAGATAATACATTTTTATTTGAAATTATTTCAAAATTTAACAAGTTAAATTTTCTGTTATTTAAACATCAAGACAAAACTAAGTTTGGCCTTAGGTCATGTTTTACAGACAGCAGTCAGAGGGAACAGAGTGAAGCTTTTTGGTTGCATTCTGGCTGACTCGGTAATTAAGACAAATATAAAGGGGTTTATATACAGCTCAGGTTTCCTTAGGCAAAAAATAAATAAAAAATAGCACGACTTAGAGTCACTGTTACTGCTCGACGGAAACCATATCCAAGAAACAATCATGTTGTGTACGATGCGGGGCCTGCATCATGTTCCCGCATCAAGTACGTGCACGCATTTTAGTGTAAAACAAGCACACGCGCACGCACGCGCGCTACAGGCTGACTTACTGGGATTAGCATATATGTAACTTTACCGTCGCAACAAAGAGCAAAAAACTGAATGTTAGCAAAATGAGGAAAAATACGAACAAACACTAAACAGGCAACTTTAGCAACTAGTTACAGTCGGTTAATGATTTATTTGGTTATTAGTGCCACGCTTATAGAAATGCACAAACTCAACAAGCTAAACATTTAACTTCAAATGTACTTAAAGTATTTTATTAAGCTACTGACTGTAAGTCAACATTCTACTCGCGTCACTGTGGAGAAGCGCGAGCAGCAAGAACTGCGAACAGACCGAGTTCAGGCTTTTTCCAGCAACAAATTCAGAGCAACACACAAAAAAGAAAAAAGAAAAACATTGGGGAAAAATATGAAAAACAAACTTTAGCATTGACAAACAACAGAAGCGTGGCTCTACGTCCACACGGCACACTGACAAAACTGAACTTCCACCATTTTCCAGTACATTGGCAGCTGCCTTCCCCGCTGTACTGGAAATGTGCAATAAGTTGAGGAAAAACTCACCGCGGATGGTTTTTTTGGGTCTTCTCGCTTTTCCTGCAGCGGGGCTTTAACAGAGTCGAAGCCTCCGAGGAGAAGCCCGCTGGGTCCCCCCTGCAGACGGTTGTGTTGTTGGTGTGTCGGGATCTCCAAGCGACAGCTCTGATTTAACTTTGAACTGCGCCGTACCTCTCCGCTTCATAACTGCCTGGCCCTGCGCTCAGCCATTTTCCAGCTCAGCACGGCGCAGGGAACGACAGTGCGTGGGAACGACTGAGCTGTGAACGAAAACGAACGAAACCACGCGGAAAAGAACGATCGTTTTCAGACAGCTCATCTTCTGAGCCGGAAACCTGAACCTGCCAATCAATCTGCAGTTGTACTTTATTTAACTTCAATGTGAACTGCCTCGTTCTACAAGCAACTGTTTGTATGTTTTTGATAAACTTTGGTCAATTTCTCGCTTTTCTTAATGTTTCATTTCTAATCCTGTCTAAAAGAAAAACTGATTTCTTTTTTTGTGAGTATTCAATTATAACTATTAAAATAATTGAAATTAAAATCAAACATGTTAATATATTTGATCATAAATAAGTGATTTTCGTTTTTATCCCCAAATCACACCTATATATTTTCAGTAGGATTATTCTTGGCCAAAACAGAAGAGCCAGATGCAGCTTCATAAACCCTTCTAATAATAAAGCCACCATGGTATTGACAAGGTAATTGTCCCTTATGTTTTCCTGTAACTGGATAGAATATTCATTATCTGGGGTCTATGTTTGCAATGAACCTAAAGCAGAAAGATCTTAACAGGTTTTAGTTGGGTATGCAAGTCTCTTAAAGTTGGAGCTCTTCTTTGTCATCACCCTCATCATTAGGTGATCCTTACTCCTATTGCAGATTCTATGATGAATTCATGTCTGATCTCTCACTGATCCATTCCAAAACGGTAATATTACTGCATGTCTGAATAAACATGTTCTAAGTTTGCTTGAATTTTAAATTTGTCATTGTGGGCTTACTCTAACATTTTAAAGATCATTTTGTTCTCATATTTCAGTCCCTACATTCCCTCTACACCACATTGCATTGATGCAGTAATTCATGCAAAAGGAGCCTCAGGTATTCAGTGCATAGAATTTCACTGACATGTCCTTTTCTTCAGTCTAAGGTAATGTTTCAATTTAAAGATGCACTGAATTTGGGTGTTTAATCTGTTGGTCTTTATCAGCACATTATGAGAAACAAGTTCAACATACTTCACTGTGTGTGTAATAAGATGTAAGTTTCACTCTGAAATACGTAATGCAAACTGTTGATGTTGTATTCAGTCAAATTAGTCATTTAGCTACATGCTCACTGAACCTCAGTGCTCAGCTCTATATTTAAGCCTCTTGAGGTGAAAGGAAAAAAGAAATTCAGATGTTTTTCCAGATTCTTTATGTTGCCTCTAAATACAACTTATAGATGCATATTTGTGTTGCTGTGGTTTCTCTTTTGTTCTTTTTTCTTTCTGCTGCGGTGTTGACTTGTGTTCTTTGTGCTTCTTTCTGTCCTCTACTCCTTCCTCATACAGTTCTGTGTGCCACACTGCCAGACAGGACATGGAAATAATCATTTTTGAAGTACAAATTTTGTTTCCATTCTGTTGTCACTCCATAATTAAGAAAAAATTTTATTTAGCTTGTGTTCTTGTCAGGCAAGTGTCAATTCATCAGGAAAAATAGCATTCAATTTTGGAGGCATTGTAGCAACGAGTTCCTACTTTTCTAAAGCAACTTTATTGTAAAATAAAGTTGCTTTAGAAAAGAAAACTCCTGCAGAGCCATGTTAACATTCTGGTTATAATGTTTGAAGTGAACACAACCAAAAGCATCATTTAAGCACAGTAATAATCAGAAGAGGAAGACACGACAAGGCAAAACATTTGTTTTGGCCAGGGCTTGAGTCCTTTGCATTTAATTTATTTTGAGCACTTTTAATACGAGAATAATTAATATCACACCAGTCTGAAGCAGACAACCATGTGGTACGCTTTCCCAATTGCTATTAGTTGATTTAGGAGGAGCACATTTAATTCACAAACATTGAAGTGGAAAAGTTTTGTGTGAATAAACATGTTCCAGGAACAAGGAGACTCCGCGGATCCTAATTCACTAAGTGATAAAAAAATAAAATAAAATACTTCAAATACAAATGGATGAACATGAATGAATACTACCGAAGAACTTCTCATCAATTTCTACTCTTAAACTGTGAAAAATTCAAAAGTTTATTTAATCCTGAATCGTGTGCAACTTTTCTCCCGAGTTCAGCTTCTTTTACCAATCCAAGTTCAATCTCCCTTTACTATGAAAAAAAAGGTTATTAGACAGGACTAACTAAACATTTTCTGAATTTAAAGAAAAAGTGATAGGTGAAGAAAAATCAACCAAGTCCCTTGTGTTCACACATACAAAAAATTTAAATCTGAAATCAATATCTCAGAATGGTGACTAACCTTTTCACACATTTAAACATAAAACTGTAGAAAAACAGATGTGACAAAAATCTGAACTGAACGGCAGAAGAAGATTGATTTTATCTGACTCCATTTACTCTCACAAGGCCACAAAACATCACTAGAACACAGCTGCTATAAGGTCCACCATTATACAGTACAAGTCAATAGCATAGGTTATTATTAGCACTGAAACAAGATAGTTCCATAGCAAAATATACAAAAGTTCACCTGTTCCTTCATCCGCCTGTGGAATTCTGAAGACTCATCTATGACTGAACAGAAACCAGGACGACTTGGCAGAAAATGTAAACTTCTTTTTCATAAAAACACGCTAAAAACTCAATAAAAGTCAACTAAGCCATGTATGTTGATGGTGTCGAGGCATGAGAAGCAGGCTGGAAGCACAGACACACACAATCCCATCTTGTTCCCAGTCAGAGAGCTGCAGCAGGTTCAACTCCAGAGGAAGAGCCTTTATCCAGACTATAGTATCGCTTCTGAAAACCATGCTAAGGCTACAGCTAGCTTTGGCAACATGGCATGGCGATGCATACACAATACTCAGGATTAACGGATCTGAATGTGAGGCAGAAAGCATGTTGTGAAGTTCTATAGTGCAACATGTGAAGAGAAGCAACTGTTTTCCTGACTGCGCTGCCCAGCAACCTTGTCTGGCTGAAACATCAAAGGCCTTAAAAAACAGAAACAAGTCTAGAAGGCCATAAATAAGTTTCTTCAATGAAAATAAAATATTTACAGTCTAAATCAGTTACAGGTGCCACAGTGATCTGAGAACTAAGAGAGGAAGTAATCAGTTTAGCAGTCTGTGTCCGTCCGTCTTGTACAGGGCCAGTGATTGTGATTGATGGATGGATGGATGGATGGATGGATGGATGGATGGATGGATGGATGGATGGATGAATGGATGGATGGATGGATGGATGGATGGATGGATGGATGGATGGGTGGATGGGTGGATGGGTGGATGGATGGATGATGGATGGATGGATGGATGGATGGATGATGGATGGATGGATGGATGGGTGGTGTGATGGATGGATGGATGGATGGATGGATGGGTGGATGGATGGATGGATGGATGGATGGATGGATGGGTGGATGGATGGATGGATGGATTTCTTGTCTTCTGATAGAATATTGTTGACTTGGTCACAGTTTCCTGGGTTCATGCAAGGCCATGTGAAGCGTCGTTTGAGGGAGAACTAAAACCCTTCTTTCCCTTTAGATTCCGCCAAAGACGGGTTGATCCAGGATGCTGTAAATGCTTCTGGCTTCAGGCTCGGCGTCTCCTCCACCTCCTCCAGGTCAAAGTTCAATTCCTGCACTGCCTCCTGTTTCTTAAACGAATCCCTTCGCTCTGACAGAGCCAGCTTCCTCATGACTTCCTTGGGATGGTGGCTGCCGCCACGGTGCTGAGGCGAACTGGTGGCAAGCCTCTGGTGGTTCCCACCCGCGCCGGCCGGGTCATGGACCTCCTTCTGCCCCCCGAGGCTCAGCCCCTGCCGGCCGTGTTCACCCACACACACAAAGCTAGTGGTGGTGTCCCCGTCTTCGTCCTCCAGGCCCTCCCCCTCCGATAGTGGCATCTCCATGGTGTGGCGGCGGGTACTGTATGCCTTCCTGTCTCCATGGTAACCTCCCTTACCCGTCTTGTCTCCCGTCAGCTTCTCTGCAGACTGTACTCTCTTGAGTAAGGGTGAGCGCGGCGGTTCTACGCTGCGTGGGCGTACCGAGTGGCGAGCAACCATGGGGGGGGACAGTGTCTTCCCATGGAAGCCCTGCAGGGTCTTGGGATGGCTCTGGAGACAAGATGGAGAGCACTGAGGGGAGAGCGGCTGGGGGGGGGGGATGCAGGCCAGAGGGGACGGGGGGATGCTGCTGGTGGACTTGCAGCGCCCGGCTTTGGCGTAGCGGCCGTGAACATGGAGGGAGCTGGGGCGCGCCTGTGGCACCGGCGAGTTGGGAGAACTGGAACTCGGAGATGAACTGGAATCTGATGAAAAAGGACAGAAATAAAGAACAAGATCAGATTTAGCAGAAATGTTTCCTCTACAGCAACACACACACACACACCCCACACACACACACACACACGCAGACTCAGGCGATGTTCACGCAGCAAACCAATCACCAAATTCAGACTTCTTCACCACAGGCTGAATGGACCAATTTCGATACTTTCACCCCAAATCTGATCTGAACCACTTCCATATGTGGAGCTACATCAGATTTATGTGTCCAATCTGCAGTCTGAATAGTCACGTCACGTTCCTTCTGACTTTTATGTCGGTGATGTGAGATATGCGTCATAATTCTGCACCAGAAGAAGTCAGACGATAAATCTGGACATAAACAGTTGTTGAAAATTATAATAATGAAATGATGTAAGGAGTCAGAGTCAGTGAACGCATCACATCCCAACCGCCACATCAAATAGAAGTGGGTCAGAAGCTGCAGTCAATGCTCCACTACAGGCCGTAGCTGTTAGATGGGTTTTCTGTTTACCAGCTTCCTTCCTCTGGTGACTAACTGCTCACCATGCTGTTGCTCTAAACAACTTTAACATCCATCCAGATGTTATGCGGCGGTCACCTTTACTGCCATAAACAAAGTGCTACTGTTAAGTTCTTCATCTGTGCACACAGGTCGCTTTGGGGTCGGAAACCGTTCACACAGAAGTCTGACTACACAGCCGCATTTAACTAGTAGCATGAAGTAAAAAGTTGGATTTTAGCAAAATAATAATAAAAAGGGAAGGCAGCCTAAAGCTCTCACCTCCAGAGTGGTCAGGGGCTGGGGAGCGGCATGGCGTGGAGGGTCCCGGTGACAGGCTCGGTGTGGGGGAGCCGGAGAGACTGTCGCTGGACGACTGGGGGAAGCCAGAGGAGAAGCTGCGGCTGCTCTGCATCGGAGGCGGAGCCGTGTGCTTTGACAGCTTCTTAAAGATGCGACGCCTAGTACTGGACGAAACAACAAGTTAAGGCGTGCTAACAGCCTGACTGTTTAGTGTTTCCCAGACAACAGGTGAAGTCGCCCACCTGTCCTGCCCGTCCTTCTTCTTGCTCTTCTTGCTGCGCCTCACCATCTTGGCCTTGTAGCTGGCCTTCCTGGCTGGGCCCACCTTGATGGAGGTGTTCTCCAGCGCAGTTGTTTGCAGAGTCACCTTGTTGCCGCTCTGTCCAAAAAGAGCATAGCAAACAGAAAGCAGTGATTGGAGGCCAGCTTTATTAGCTGTGTTTGTTAAGGGACTTAAAATCCTGGGAACGAAGGGAACTGGCCAGGTTTTTGGCCAATAGACGATCGGCCAAAAACCTGCAGATGGGACAGTCCTACACAGAAATATAAAACAGATCAGTAATTTAATGGTGAACAATGGAAGGAAGTTCAAAGCTTTATCTCAGAAGGCAAATATGTGTCTAAACAATTACACTACTATTATCTAAATTACACCAGAAGGCTTCAATGTTGGTTTAACATGATAATAAAGTACAAATTAGAAGAAGGGCTGAGATTATTTTGGTGGATGGCAAATGATTAACCCTTTTACTAGCAGCAAACAATCAGATTTCAATGTGGCAGGATAAAAACTCTGGACCCAAATATCCAGAAGGGAAGAAAACATTTTACAAAGTAAGATGCTGCTTCTGTAAAAAATGAAAGTGCTAAAAACCAACTGTTCCTCACCAAGGACAACATCCTCATGAAATGTTATGGCTGCTGGATGTTTAACAAGTAAAATTATAAATTATTCATTTGCACAAATGGTAGTTCTGAATCAGCTGCACACAATCCTACATCTATCTATGAACATAGCATTTAGGGTTTTCATGCATAAAATGTGACTTGAACCAGAGCAGGATGAAGCTGGAACAGAGTTCCAGGTAAACAGGATGCTGCATTATTGCAGGAATAACACCTAAAACACTCTAAAGCTTCATGTTGTTCCCATACCTTGAGCAGAAGCTCCACCACCTCGGTGTGAACCAGACCCTGGACTGATTCCCCATTGACGTGGGTGATGAGGTCGCTCGCCCTCAGTCCTGCTTCGTGTGCTGGACTGCCATCCTCAACGGACTGAATTCAAACCCAAACACAACAGAAACAATTAGTCTGTCACTTTCTGTTAGGATCCTACACTAAAAAAATCTCATGATATGAAACAAACATGAATATAGAGCCCACTTTGCTTGCCTGTTATTGCATCACCGGAGTTTAATTTTCAGAAAAAAGGGGAAAAAAAACAATGTCGTTGATTTGAAATTTTAACATCTACATAAAATTTTATAACATACTGTATGAATGTTCCATTGAAGTTGCAGTACGTAACTTAAAAATGTTTTTTTTTTTATATTTGTTGTGGTGACAGTTTGCTACGACACCGATAAATGAGAAACAACTCACTGATGAAGTTTCTCTGACATCATCGGTGATGATGCTAACTCTGATTAGGACTGGGGGCACTGGCAGCAAGCACAGGGGCTCCATTTTTTTAGACTATTTGTCTCATATATATATATATATATATATATATATATCGACAGTATCTGTAGTATATATATATATATATTGTTCAGTTGGATGTTCCAACTGAACAATTATCCCCCGAAACTCTAACCAGATTGAAATGGATAGAATTTCTATGATTCTGATCAAAATGGATTCATTTTGATTCAATTTCTATTTGATAAAGTCCAGAATAAATTCAACTATTGTTTTTTTTCTTCTATTGCCCGTCTTTTCTGACGTTGTGTGTAACCATACAAAAATGGTTCAAATGCATCACTAAAAATGCAAAACATAACTGGTGTTCAACACTGATGATGAGTTCATGTAAACTTCAGAGGAGGACTGTCCTGGCAAAACCACCTACCCAGACCATGTGATGGACAGTGTAGACATCGCTGTCCCCCATGTAGACCCTGATGGCTCGCAGCGCAAAGCCAAACCTCCTGCCAGAGCTGTGGATGACCACCGGGGGCCGGAGGCAGCTGATGCTGATGGGCAGGTCACGGCTGGGGGACGAGTCCCGGGAGGACGGGTTGGACGACAAGGACAGGGATGATTTGGGACTTAGAGGAGGACCAGCTGAGTCATCTGGTTACACAACAACAACAAAAAACAAACAAACAAAAAAAAAATCTGAAATGATTATGTCACTCTAACAGGGATTGCACTATTATATTATCACCAGTTATCTTTCCATTACAGTGTGTGCTAAACCATGTCTATATTCTTTGTCTATATTAGACCACCTCATCCCAGAGACAAAAACTCTTTAGCAAAAAATGTGTTTTTCAAAACTGATGCGTTTCCATTGAGCAAATTTATTGTCGTAATTTCAATTTGCGGAACTATTTGGTCAATGGAATGCAGAAGTTGTTCCACACAGTGGTATCATATCCTCCCTGCCAGGCAGTAGGTACAGCGTCTCAACCTGACGGTCCTACCTGGGGTAATGATGAGGGACAGACCAGAGATGGAAGCAGACTTGGGGACGTTTCCAGCAGAGGACCTGGGTTTCTCTGGGGTCTCCAGCTGGTGGGCGATGCGCCGCGACGTGCCTCTGCGGAACGACGGCCGCGTCCCCGTGCTATTGCTCCGCAGGCGGATCCGCCTCAGGTTGGAGACAATTCCTTCTAGGAGCCGGTGCAGGGCATGAGCACGGACATTCTAATAATGAGCCAGAGGTGAAAACAGAAAGGAGCTTTACCTTCCTCCTCAGTGGGGATGGCGATGCGAGCCGCTGCGTCCAGGCTCTGCGTGCTGTTCATGACCAGCGGGCTGCCGCTGCGTTCTGAATGTGACGAGCTGGAGGAAGCACGAGGACGAAGACTGCGCACACAATGCGAAGCAGAAATGTTACGGTTTCAGTGACATCAGGAGGAATTTGGTACAAGATTGTTGTTAAAAATTAATATGAAATGGAAATAGCAGATGAAATCAAATTTTTGAGAGTGATCCTTTATTTCAAAAGGCATTGGGAGGCTCATAACAACAATGTAACAGCTAAAGACTAAAACAACAGTAATACTAAATCAAATTAAGTATTTAATAACAAGGGAAAAAACAGGACAGTGAAAAAGATCCAATAATAAAAAAAGTTTAATCTAGAGAATTGGCTGAATTGGGTGATGTGCTCTTTCTTCCTGGTCCCAGTCAGGATGATTGATTTTTTTTTAAGCAGACCTGAGAAGATATTGCTGTAGTAATCAATGCAACTACAGATGACGAGTTTCTCAAGATCTTGCTGAGACATTATTCCTCTCAACCTGGAAATGTTCTGGTGATAGAAGGTTGACTTTGTAACTGCCTTTATGTGACTCTGAAGCTTCATGTCAGAGTTCAACACTACACCCAGGTTTCAGTCTAATCTCTACTTTCCAGCTGAAGATGTGTGTTGACTCTAGATTGTTCCTCTTTAGATCCACATATAATAACTTCAGTTTTGTTAGGCTGGAGAAAGATATGACACATCCACACATTTATCTGTTCTAAGCATCTATTCAGTGATTGGATGGTTCAGAGTCACCTGTAGAGTTGTTTTATCACCTGCATAGTGATGGCAGCTAATCTTATTCCTGTCATAACCTGAGTGGGAGCAAATAGATATTGAAAAAGAAGAGTCCTGGGATTGAGCCTTGAGGTTCTCCACATGTGACTTCTATCCATTTTGATGAGAAGTTTCCTATTGAAACAAAGAAATCCATGTTCTTTATGCAAGATTTGAACCAGCTGAGTACTGTGAGGTCCAACAGAACCAGCACTGTGGTTCTTCCACAGCCTGTATTTATGTGAATGTCAAAGAAACTTTGATGAGGGCATTCTCAGTACTGTGGTAACCACAGAAACCAGACTGAAGGACATCAGAGCTGTTGGTCATCATTAGGAAACTATTTAAATGTTGAAACAACTTGTTCAATAATTTTGCTGATGAATGGAAGGTTGGAGATCTGCCTCTAATTCTGCAGTTGTGATTTGTTGTTTAATCAGTTGATTGATAACTGCCACCGACACTTTTTTGTCCTTATCTTGTATTCTTGCTGTTGACAGGGTTTTAAGTATTGTTTAGTATCTATTTCTGAAATAATTCAGTTAGTTTTTTCTAGGTTGTGTGTATTTTTGACACGTGAAAAGAAATGTTAAAAAAACAAACAAAAATAAAATAAATGATACTTCTAGAACCTCAGAGAATGACCAGCTAGGTTATTCAGATAAATCTGTTTTAACATCATTTTCAATCATGTAGTCTGTAGGTTCCCTGTCATGGTTCGGATGACATGGTCAGTTTTTCACTCTGGTACATGTCTGGGTATGTTTGCCAAAATGAGATGATCTTGAATTGAGCTGCACCCAGAGAAAAACAATTACTGAACACGTTTGCTTCTCAACACACCTGCACTGAAACGATACCTGCAGCCGACTGAACAAGCATCTTATAGTATTCACTTCTCAACTGGAGTGTTCTCCAGTTTTTAAAGGCTAAAGTACACAAATCTGAAGGGATCTTTTAGTTTTTTCTAAACTGATTCTTTTCAGAGGTTAAGTTATTTTTTAATTTAAGTTTCCTCTAAAATTTTCTAAATTGATCAGAAATGTCATGAGCCACATACAGCTTGAGATCATTTTATTGATTTATAATGAATGACCCATAATATGTGGGTCATTATGCACTTTTGTTTTTCTGTCTGGCAGTCATAGTTAAGGATAAATTTGCTTTGGAAAGTGTCTGTATAAAAAAATCCCTTCCAATCTAGGTTTGCATATGGGAACACATTTATCTAGGTTGGGAAAAGAAGTGTAGACAAAGTCTGATCCTGCTATCCAGCTTAGATCCATATTTCAAATGCAATTAATATGAACAGATCAAACTGAACAATTTTATTTAAAAAGCAAAGAATCAGATGCTTGTTCTGGGTAATGGAAAATGACAGAAGACTTGGAAAGAAACTGTCGTTTTAAATCACTTTCAAGGCCAAAATGAAATATTCAGCAGAAGTAAATCATATTTATAGCAGGACACCAAGTACTGCTCAGCATTCTGATATGTGAAAATGTGTGTGGTTAAAAACCAATACGACTGTAGTTCTACTCAGTTCATATATACATTATAAAAAATATGCACATCACTTTTGAATCTTTTAAGAATAAAACTACAGCTAAGACCCAATATGGAGGTTTGACTGATTCAACATCAGACTGGTTTCACTGACTCACCTCCCTCTCGGTCCATCTGTCCTCCTGTCTCCAGCAGCCAAGTTCTTGTGTCCGTCTCCCGGTGAGAGGACTCCCCTGCCGTCCCAGCGGTCTTCCTTCTCCTCGCTGTGGCTTCGCTCTGACGAGGACAGGCTCTGATTGGATGGGGTGGAAGTGGACAGGTGCTCCGAGCTGCTGTACACCTACACATCAGAAACAAACATGCGATCTGTCACAGCCTATAGGTGTATTCGTCCTTACATAAAGAGGAACTGATACACAGCCGTTTCTAGCAGAGCGAGATGTACCTTGCTGAAACGGTGAGCCACAGAGGAGAACTGTCTGAGCTCCAGAGACGACTCGTCATCGTTGGTTTCATCATCATCTGAGCCCAGGTGACAGTAGCGCTCCGACCGTGCTGCAGGATACAGTGTCATCATCATCAACAACTAAAGAGCTTTAACACCAGTCACAACTGAAACAAAGTTCTGAGCATCAGTAATAAAGAAATTAAATGCATAAAAATAGTGACAAAGCTAAGCACACAATAATGAATTAAACACAATAAAACAACACAGTTAAACAGATAAAAACAATACCAATACAGATGAAGCAAAATCAAGTCTCAGTTGGTTGAAGGTCGGTGAGTCAAAATAAGTTTTCAGACAAGTTTTAAAGATGGAGAGTGAAGGGTCTGATGGATGTGCAAAGGCAGAGAGTTCCAGAGCTCAGAGTAACAAACAGAGAAGCTCACACTACTGGGAATGACCAGGAGCAACTGGGAATAAAACTGGGAATAACCAGGAGCAACTGGGAATAAAACTGGGAATGACCAGGAGCAACTGGGAATAACCAGGAGCAACTGGGAATAAAACTGGGAATAACCAGGAGCAACTGGGAATAAAACTGGGAATAACCAGGAGCAAGTGGGAATAAAACTGGGAATAACCAGGAGCAACTGGGAATAAAACTGGGAATAACCAGGAGCAACTGGGAATAAAACTGGGAATGACCAGGAGCAACTGGGAATAAAACTGGGAATAACCAGGAGCAACTGGAAATAAAACTGGGAATAACCAGGAGCAACTGGGAATAAAACTGGGAATAACCAGGAGCAACTGGGAATAAAACTGGGAATAACCAGGAGCAACTGGGAATAAAACTGGGAATAACCAGGAGCAACTGGAAATAAAACTGGGAATAACCAGGAGCAACTGGGAATAAAACTGGGAATAACCAGGAGCAACTGGGAATAAAACTGGGAATAACCAGGAGCAACTGGGAATAAAACTGGGAATAACCAGGAGCAACTGGGAATGACCAGGAGCAACTGGGAATAAAACTGGGAATAACCAGGAGCAACTGGGAATGACCAGGAGCAACTGGGAATAACCAGGAGCAACTGGGAATGACCAGGAGCAACTGGGAATAACCAGGAGCAACTCGGAATGACCAGGAGCAACTGGGAATGACCAGGAGCAACTGGGAATGACCAGGAGCAACTGGGAATAAAACTGGGAATAACCAGGAGCAACTGGGAATGACCAGGAGCAACTGGGAATGACCATGAGCAACTGGGAATGACCAGGAGCAACTGGGAATGACCAGGAGCAACTGGGAATGACCAGGAGCAACTGGGAATAAAACTGGGAATGACCAGGAGCAACTGGGAATGACCAGGAGCAACTGGGAATGACCAGGAGCAACTGGGAATGACCAGGAGCAACTGGGAATAAAACTGGGAATGACCAGGAGCAACTGGGAATGACCATGAGAAATTTGTCAGCAGACCCAGAAGGAGTTCTGTTAAAAAATAAACTCTAAAATACACGAACAGCCAATGGAGAGAATCCAGGTCAGAGGTAATGTTCTCTCTCAAATGTTCCTTTTAGCAGACGGAGTAGCATTTTGCACCAGCTGACTTTAAAATCAAAGTAATTTGGAGTCAGCTTAATTTCATCACAACTGTGATGAAATGAAGGAATGAATTACTGTTTCATTCTGCTGCCTTGAAAGAATAGATTTACGTTTGCTAGTTTTTGGAAGTGATGAAAACTAGACTTAAATGTGGCGTTTGTTTGATTGTTGAATTTAAAATTACTGTCCATCTTAAGACCAAGGTTTGTAGCTGTGAACATAAGGTATTTTTACCAGAATCAGAAACAGAACTGGATCTATGCTGTGTTACCAGGCCTGAAAATTGTTTTGACATCTCCACGTTCAAATGTGTTTCTGAAATTATCTACGCACTGTCAAAGTAGCTCGTGTCCTCTTCAGACTCCAGCTGAGGTACAAACTCAGCTTTCTGCCTCAGGAGGCCGTTCCAGTCCAGGCCCAGGAAGAACATGTGACTCTTCACCTCCGTGGTCCCAGCTAGAGTAAAAAGAAACCAGTCATTATTCTTTCAAATGGTTAAATGTGCCCCAAAAACACTTACAAGGTCTGTATTATATATTTTCCAGGCACACTCTGTCACTTTATGGCGGCATCAACGATGTTACCTTCAGTTGTTCTAAAATCCTACAAATTCTACTTTGTAATTTAACAGCTTGACATTGGGCCTCTCTCTTTAAACACTCCTGCTTTTTTGGAAACTTCAACTTCAGGAAGTCATCACAATATGGCTCCTTTATGAATCCTTTAACAATATTTTACCAGCACTGCACTGAGAAGATTGCTATCTGCTGCTGGGTAGTCTGAAGGAGCTGAGTGGGAGCTGCTCTGTGAGGAAGAAGCTCATAACACCAGCTCTGAGGAGAAGCATCGCTTCCACCCAGCCGTTTTGCACAGTTGTCATGGAGATTAAAGGGTTTCTCAAATATACATGAAAGAATCAAAGCAACACTCCAGTTATGTTTATGATGAGGGAATAACATAACATGATGTAAAGCTCAAAAAAGTCAATTTTACATATTACTGCCCCTTTAACCTTTAACCAGGCAACATGGAGCTTACGTTCCATGTTAAGGGCTACAGCGAGTGTGAGAGTTATTCTTGACATGAACACGAGGAGAGGGGGACAACAGCAGTTTACAATCAAATCGGAAACAGAACTGTTTCCATGCCATGTTACCAGACCTGCATTGATCTGGTAACACAGATCTGCATAGATAAAAGGATCTATTTGGTCTGCAGCTATTTTTGCTGGGGAATCTATCACATCCATTTTCATTGTCTAGCACATCAGCCAGGTTCAAGTCTTTACTATGTGGCTGTCTGGGAGAGTGTCATGTCCTTTCCGCACATAGAGAGAACAAGTCTCAATGTTCCACCAACCTGTTCCCAGGCGCTCCAGAGGATTCTGCCTCAGCAGCCGGGTGATCAGATCCTGAGCATCAGCTGGCAAAGCGTCTTCCCCTTCTGGCCAGATGATGTCATCTTAAACAGGAAGATGACGTCAGTGATTGCTCCATGTCCAGCAATCACTGGACATGGTGTTTTTCTCCACTATGAAGAATGTTCTGGAGCCAAGAATGATGCTTGACTGCAAGCCTCGTCACTCAAAGTTAATGTTACTACAGAGTAGTAATGTTACTACATTAAGTGCCCTAACCTGGGGGGCAACCAGGCTTTACTTGCCCTTCTCCTGGCTAAGTGTTGTTTGCTTATTTTAAAGACGTTTTTGGTACAGTAACATCAGCTGCAATTATGTGATTAATGGAAAAGCAATTTACCATTTTGACTTTGACTGTCTGCTTACCGTTAACAACCTGACCGAAGAGCTGCTCTGGGGTGTCTCCAAAGAAAGGCACACAGCCAACCAGAAACTCATAAAGGATCACACCCATGGCCCACCAGTCCACAGGTTTGCCATAACCCTGCCTCAATATGACCTCAGGAGCGATATACTCAGGAGTGCCACACACCTGACACAATGATGACAGGAAAGGAGGAAGAAAAGGAGGGCTACGAGTTAGCTCATTTTCACAACCACCACTAAAAATCTTGAGACAAAACCCACACCTGTTTGTCTATGAATTCTCTGGTGTCTTTTTCAATATGTCCCTCATACAGATTGGTCGTCATGTTCATTAGCCCAATCTTTGACAGCCCAAAGTCCGTCAGCTTAATGTGGCCCATGGACGTGATCAGCAAACTACAAGAGAAGAAAGGAAGCAGGGAATAAGTTAGAGCTCTAAGAGAAGTTTACATCTAAAAATAACCTCAGTTTTCAGTTTAGACATAAAAAAGCTCTAAAGTAGATGAAAGTAATTGTGTGAAAGCAAGAGCAAGTTGGAGAAGGTTTGTTTTGCACAGCTGTCGGGGAGCTCACTTGTCAGGTTTGAGATCTCTGTGCACAATGCCATAGTTGTGAAGGTACTCCAAGGCAAGAACGGTCTCTGCAAAATACATCCGGGCCATGTCGACAGGGAGGGGGCCGATGTTCTTCAACAGGTTGGCACAATCTCCACCTAAAGCAGAAAGCAGGTCAGCTAAACAGATATTTTCACACCTTTAAGCATTTTGAGTGAAATATAATCAATGTATGCTAATTTCATGCCTCTGGAGACAACTTGTTACATCCACAAGAAAATCTATTGACAGGACTATTAAAGAGCCCAACTCTGGACTTTATGGAAGAGTTGAGTTTGATAGAAATAAATCTATAGATGGAAGAAAGCCATAGGAATTTCCATTTAAAGTTTTCCACAAGCCATATCTTCATCAGTCTTAAAATAAGCAAAACTGGTACAAAACAACACAAAAGAACTGTGTTGTTCTACAATCAAATGAATTGTCGAGGAAATGTGACAAAATGTCAGTAGGTTCATGTTAGTATGCATCTTTAGATGTCCTGGGTATCCATTTACCTTCAACATACTCCATGACCATGCATAGGTGCCTCCTGGTCTCAAAAGAACAGAACATGGAGACCACAAACGGATTTTCAGCAAACGTGAGGATGTCGCGTTCCACAAACACCTGCTGGATTTGGTTCCTAAGAATCAGGTTTTGTCGGTTAATCTTCTTCATGGCAAAACGTTGGCGGGTTTCTTTGTGGCGCACCAAATATACGGCCCTATATGGCAGGGACAGAGACAGATGAGAGTAGAAAGACGACAGGATGCAGAACAAGACAGGAAGAAAAGACATAAGTACTAATAAGCTTCCCAACAACATTCAGATGAAACTGGTGTTGCTCACCCGTAGGCTCCGTTGCTAATGAGCTTAATAGTCTCAAAGTCACTCTCCAGGGGTTTCCGACGAGGAGGGGTGCAGGCAACTGCACCCCTCTGCATCCAAAAAGGAAAGAAAACACACGAGCAACTGTGTCACTCTGAAGCAACAACCAGTCATTTGGAGGATTTTAGTTATAACCACTGATTACAATGTAATACATTTCATCATCACAACTCATTCACTCTGAGAGTTCTTGTTTAGCTTGCAATGCGACAACAAACCTGCACTGGTGTTGCCTCTCCAGAGTCATCAGACTCTCTACTGGCTGACCTTTGACACGGACTGGTTTGCTGCTCCAGATGGACCATCTCTGCAGGACCAGAGGAGAAATTGCATCAATTAATTGCATTCAGGACAACAAGGATTTGGATGCAGACATTTGCAATTTATGCACATCTGTAAGCAACTCTTTATGCAAAGCCATTAAATGTGTGGATAAAAAAAACTATTTCTTTCTTTCAGCTTTAAACGTAGTATATTGTTGTTTAGTGTTTAATACACACACACACACACATTTGTTTCTCCCAGTATTAGGACTTGGCATTGTAATTAACTTTATTGATCCCTAAACTTAACACTTACTGTCAGCATTTACATCCAAAACCTAATTCATCCCATACCCATAAACCTGCCCCCATACCCTGAACATGTGAGTCCACTGCATTAGGACCAGGTGTTGGTCCTCAGAAGACCAAGTATTCTATTGGTCTGGCGACCAATAAGAAGTACAAGTATTGACTTTTTATTTCAGTCACTACACTTATGCTCAACTCTAACATTCCTCCCTCATCCTGACAATTTCAGTCTATTCCTAATCATAATTCACTCCTCACCTCTAAAGCAAACAAGAAGAGCACAAAAGATCTAAAATAAACAAAAAATATGCCACTTATATATGTGGCATATACAAGTACACACACAAGTTTGTATTTCTACCCACATCCATTCATTTTAATATCTGCCCTTATGCCTAATCCAGATATTTTCCACCAGGACGGAGTTTTGGTCCCTATAAGACCTATTGGTGTTCAGAAGCTAGTAAATATGCCAGAAATGGCACTAAATATGGCAGCTAAAAAAGTACACACCAAGTATTCAGGGTTCCTGTAAAGATTCCATTTAAAAACATCATATTTTTCAAATTTTTCCAGCAGGTTTTCAAACATTCCACACAGTTCAGGACAAAACATTTACCTGGTCAGGTATTATCTCTATGTTCCAAAAGTCATTAGCTCACTTTTGGTGAACCAATGCTGGTTTCCATGCCAGCAGAGTGGCAAAGGGTTATTTTTTGGGCATGTGGACTAGATTCAATCATCTCCTTTTCTAGAGCTATACCACTTTATTTGCCAAATCGGGACAGGGTCATTCTTCACTTAAACATTTTTAAAGTCCAATTTGTAGAGTTGGTTTTGATGAAACATTGTTTTGTTTGCCATATAAAACAGAAATTGTTTAAAACCATGATCTAAAAAGGGTCTAAACTCCAAGTCAACAGTGCATATTTGTGGCTTCTCATGAAAATAAAAACAATGATTTGCAGAAAGACAAAAGACCTAAGCTGCTCTGCTGTGTTAAAAAAATAGAAAATACTTCAATCTAAATCAATGAATATACACAGATCTGTTTTCACAGAAATTCTGATGTTCTTTATTAGAAAACTGAATAAAGAAAAAGTTCTGAAAATTTTCTCCTTTTTTTTTCTTCCAGACTAAACAAATACATACTTTTCTTGTCACTAAGAATAACAGACACCCGCATTAATAACATTAACATTTCACATTAAAATATGAGTGGAAACCATCATGTTTCATATATTAATATATTAATAATTAGTAGGGATTTCGGCAGCACCTTCCAGTGGATCTCTAGTGAGGCCAAGCTGGCTGATGATATATCGGGGAATATCAGTCTTAATGCCCTGGCCTACTTTGGCTTGGCCCTCTGCAGCCTCCAAACGCTGATAGAACTCCTCTGGATCAAACTCCTGCAGAGAAAATAACCCCAACATTCAGATATGATGTATGAAACATCAGTGGCTTTATTTAACTCTTTTATTGCAGTCTGCAATAAAAAAAACATGACACACAAGGAGTTAGGAGGAATAAGAAGCAAAGCATTTCCCCACCTCAGTGATCTGAGCGGTACTTTAACAGACAACGCTCTCATGAAGAAAGCAGCACTGTTATCATCAGAATTACATCAATGTAAACAGACTGCAGCATTGGTGACCTGAAGGAAAAAGCATGTGTTGCACAGTACAGGCGTGTGCAGCAGAAAAATGCTGTATTGGAAATGTTTTGATTTTATTGCAAAGAAGAAAACCAGATTTGGAAGATAATATTTATAAAGTAATAACAAAAATAAACTTGTTTTGGTAACAGATAAAAAAAATTATCTAGAAGGAATGGACTGTGCCAAACAAACTGGTTCAGCAACCATACTTTCTTCAAGATAGGGCAGATAGAATATTAGATTAGATATGGCAGATACTTCTACAGTGGGTAAGCTTGAAGTACAGAAAGTGTAAAAACCAAGAAGGGTTGAAGGACAATAGGAAGGAGTTGGAAAAATGATATTTCTGATAATATTTTTTCTAACAATTGTCTTTATCTATGGCGATCAAGACCTAGAATATTCTATGTTAAAAGAATATTCTATGTGTAGAAACCATGTGGGCCACTCTAGGGCCGACTACAGCTGTAGCATCAGGTACATGTTGACAGCATGCTGTGTAAAACACAAAGCTTTCAACTGCTCATTACTACACTAACAGCATGTTATCAGTAAACATGACTCACTGACATAACATGCTGATGAGGCAAGAAATATTATCTTTAGGTCTTCAAGACAGTAAATAACATCTAGTCATGAGTATATGATTATAAGTCAGTCTGTGTTTGGTAAGTGGTTCTTACCAAACACTCCAGCAGCCTGGCAGGTCTGGAGATGACGATGAGAATCTTCTTCACCAACTTGATAATGATGGTCACCTCCTCGCTCTCTGAACGCTCATAAGCCTGACAAACACAGGACAAAGCATGATGGATTATTACTGGGACTTAATCCGAATGATACAGGCTGTGGGACGGACCGGTTGATCTGAGGACAGGCAGTTCAGTCTGGCTTAGACTTCTACATACACTGCCTTCACATCTTAAACAAGAGCCGTGAAACAGCAGAAGTAGAGAAAGAAAATCATTAAGTTATTAATCAGTAATACATCATTTATAGTTGAAAATATATACACCCTCTTTCAAATTTTTTTTCTAATACAATAATACCATTGAGGAAAGAAATCCTCAATGGGGCAGCTCAGATTAGCTGATACACTGTGGTCATCCATCCATCCATCCATCCTTCCATCCACCCATCCATCATCTGTTCACCCTTGTCACTATTGGGGTTGGGAGTTGCTGGTGTCTGTCTCCAGCTGCGTTCCAGGCAAGAGGCGGGGTCACCCTGGACAGGTCGCCAGTCTGTCGCAAGGCAACATAGAAACAAACAACCGTACACACACACACACACGCACACACACACACTCACACGCACACACACACACACGCACGCACACACACACACACGCACACACACACACACACAAACACACACACACACGCACACCTAGGGAGAATTTGGGAAAGACCAATTAACCTGACAGTTATGGTTTTGGACTGTGAGAGGAGATCACAGGACAAGATCCATTCGTGGATCTAATTCTGTGTATTTGTGAATCTGTTGCATTTGTGAATCTTGGTCTGTGAATTATGAGACAGCTTTAGCTCCATACTGCTACTGGGATTAGCTTCAGGAAGATTAATGGATTGTGGTGGTAAAATAAGCTCAAATCATCAAACCTTTATCACCAAGTTTGTCAGTTGGTGTGTGGTATTTGTTTTTTTTTCTAGCCATAGAGCCATGCATTATTAATATCCACTGTGATCTTGCATTTTCTTCAAACATGGATTCAGAAGTAGTTTAGGCTTTGCAAACTTATGTCGAACATCCAGGTTGTTTTTAAAAGAAGTATTTCTCTTGGCAACCTTTCCAACGCCACATTTGTTTCTTTTCTAATGAGGTCATCATGATCTTTGACGTTAAATATGATACATGAATGGAATCAAAGTTGAGAGTTTTGTAGCTTCCAAGCACTGAATGACCCAACATTGTGGTGATTTTTTAAAGACATTCACTCTTAGATTCAAAGGTCTGAATATTTTTCTCATAATTGGTCATTCTCACCCTATGATATTTTGGAAGTTCGCTATATGAGTGTTCTGAAATGAATGGAAACCTTCTTTCAGGTCACTCATCTTTCATCTTGTCATTTACACCTTTTCCCTTTTTAATCCTAAAACCTGACTGCAAAAGCAGACATAATGATCAAACCTGCTCTACCTAGCTGAGACATTTGGTGGAGTGAAATAAAAATGTCACCAGCAAAGGATAAAACCTGTTTAACCAAAGACAACATGTTCTTCTTTAAATTATTACTGAGAAAATGAAGCAACAGTCTCTTGCATAACCAAACACTTTGAGGGCAAATCTGTGATAACTTTGTGACGGATGGGCAACAACCAGAATCAACAAGAACAAATTACAGAGACATTCCCAGTTTAATCTGCTGCGTAGTATCAGTGTCACAGAGGAAGTCCTAAGCTACCAAAGGTCTTTCTCTCCTGCAGCACCACATGTCATCTGAAACAAGAATGTAAGATATATAAGCACCAACATCAATGGCTGATATATATTAGTTTCTGGAATTGGAATGGAGGATGTTGGTCATGTAGTGTTCGTTTGGTCATGTGACTGATGGTGGTGCAGCACAGGATTGTGGGGAGTTTAGCTAAAGCAGAGAAGCATTGCTGAAGTAAATTTTTTTTCAAGCCGTCAAAAGGCCGTCAACTATAACAGCAATGTTAATATTGAATATGAATATCAGCCCAGATTTTTGTAATCTGTGCATTCAGTCTTATATACATTTCAGTGTGCAAGTTTCTGGGAGGAAGACTCACCTCATGCAGCAGCTTCTCCAGCTTCTCCTGCAGCTCCACAAAATACCTGGATGTGACCAGGCCGTCCTGGGACTTATCCAGACAGTCCCGGGCCAGCTCCACCAGCTGGTGCTGAATGAATCCCAACACACCGTCAGCCAGGGGCAGAGCGGTGTCCGGAGAATACTCCGAAATGATGTCCAACAGCCGACCCTCCATCTGAGCTGTTGCCTGGGAAACCAAAATGGTAGACATGATATAAATATGTACATGTTTTAACAAACACCAAACATGAAGAATCACTAAACATCTCCAAGTGGTCTGAACAGATGAGCTTCAACAGAAAGCCAGCAGAAAACCAGGGCTGGAGGTGAAACGATGACTTCACCTTGGGAAAGCGCTCTTTGTAGACATGATTCATCATGACAATTTCATTGTCGAATGTTCCACAGGTCCGGCCAGGGCTAGATGAAAACCAGACAACACAAGCAAATATCAAACTTTTAGTGAAAGAATCCCTGATGCTTAATTTTTATTCTACACAGCAAACCAGGCGCTTATATTCATATTCAACTAAAATAGATGTTTAAAAATATTCATCTGTTGTATTGTGGTCTAAGTTACTGATACATCCAGCATCAGAAGTGTACTCATCAGCATCACGTTTACAGTGAACCCTCATTTTTCTCACTTGTTGAGTTCCAAAGAGATGTATAAAATATATTTCCCCAGCTTTTTTTTTTAAACCAAGTCTGACCTTCCAGATTTCTTCCATTTTTTTAACTAAATTTTAAAAAGTTTGTTAAATTCCACATTACTGGTTGATCCTTAAACACAACCAATCTACTTATTTTTAATCCGTTCTTCAAGCATCCGATTGGAGCAAAGTATTATTCTATCTGTTCATGTTTCCAGTGTTTCAGAAAGATCATTGACTCCAATCACTGATCAATCTGAAATAAATCTGTAGTTATTAAAATTCATGTCTGAACCAAGTTTACATCTGAACAGGGAGCCAAAGAGCTCTGAAGAATTGCTTACCTACTTCAGATGATCAGTGTGTGGCATTCCACTGACCATTTCTGTGTGAAAACAGTTGCTAAAGCAGCCTGGTTTCATCTGAGGCTGCTTTAAGGAGCTAACCTTAAGGGAAGTGAGACCTTGGGGGTAGGAAGGCTCTGTTCAGCCTCTGGGATCATTTTAGAGGAGAGACATTTACCTGTGCTGTGCTGCTGTATGGAACAACTCTAGTGATTTCAGTCTCATTAAAGCTCAACAAAACTGTCGGGGTTTTTTTCCCTCATGTGCAGCTACAGGCATGTGTGGAGAACTTTGGGTATGTGCGGCGAGTGTGCGGCCCAGGGAAGGATGTGTCACAAAAAAAACAACCAGAACAAGATGCTGCCAACACCCTCAGCCGCCCTCCATAAAATCTCCTAGCTCCCAACCACTAGATCTATTTAGAAAGATTGTCTCAGCACTGCTCAGTGATATGGTAATGTCATTGTATATAATCCTCACATAGCACAAGTTTTTTCCAGAGCCACTCAAAATGATTATTTCACCAGGCTCTGGTTTAATAGGGGCTGCATTTCTCTCTTTGGGAGGAAGGGAATGTTTGAGGAGAAGACGCTGGCTGTGCTTCAGGAGGCAGACCGGGACTCAGCCATCCGACAGCTTTGTGCTGTGCTTACAGCTGTCAACAAGCCTGGAAAACTCCTATAGAAATTCAGTTCATATATTGTGCAGCACTTATTGTCAGCATATCTCTGTTTACAGCAGTTCCATGTCATGAAATCTAGTTCGCTGCTGTGGTCCCAATATTCAGTCAGTCAGAATGACTGACCTCAATCCACAAAAACTTACATCTTCCATCTAAAAAGGAAACATTAAAATACCCTAAATTACAAAAAGTAATTACATAACATCAGAAGCCTGTCTAAGTGGACATATCGCATGGCAGGAGGACTAGCTCTATAACAGGGGCAGTGTTATGTGGGCAATATTATGCTTTTTAGGCATTTTCAAGCCAGTGTTATACATTTTCAAGTGTCAGTAAACTAACTGTTACTTGAATGTGTAAAAATGCTATATATAGCATTTATTTTTAAGTTCACAGCTTCAGTTATTACAATTATAACTGACAAGCACATGTCAGTTATAATGACATGTGCTTATCGCCCTACAGTTTGCTTATCGCTGTAGAGTTGGAGTTGATGTCCCATAGTCATCTGGACAAATCAGGTAGCTCTGTGAGGATTATGTCATTTGTCTTAACACATTTCAGCTTGATCTGTTCTTTGAGAAACTGCAGAAGGCACAAGTGCTGGCCTCAACAATCACCATGATCTATGACTCTCTGACAGCCAGACCACAGTTTGTGACACAGAAAGACTGTGTGTCTAACCTGGAGCACCACAATGTACTCACACCATTCCTTTTCTCTCTCTACACTTCAGACTTCAAATTCAAAAATACTTTATTAATCCCATAGGAAAATCAAATGTTGTAACTCATGAAGTTAGATTCCAGATGCAACAGTGAAGCATTTATAAGAAGGACAGAGCAGACTGAACGTTTGAAGAAGATAAGATCCTTCTAGATTTGCAGCAAGATGCTGCAGGTCTTGTATCAGTGTTATTTCTAAAGCTGTCATCTGATGGGGCAGCAGCATCAGAATCAAGGACCTTATTATCAACAACATTACAAAGAAGGCTGGTTCTGTTCCAGTTCCGCTGATAACAAGGGAACCTCTGGAGATGTTGATGGAAAGAAGGATTCTTCATAAAATTAAGAAAATTAAAGACAACCCTGACCATCCTCTTCATCGGCCTGTCTTGGGCAAGCCGATTGTCTTCTTTACTTTACTTGAGGTTTTATTTTTGGTTAACTTATGACTTTACACTCCATGACATTTCTCAGAAACTTGTGGCCGCTCATTAATTTTGGCTCAGCATAGCTTTACAATTTGCTGTGCCGTTGCTGGTTTTCTTTTACCTAAATGCAATTGGCCACACACTATGCTCCTCACAAGAAGGGAAACCAATCACAGTCACCGTTCACACCTGGGATTATGTCATCCTCTGTAATTGTTGTGAGCTTAGCTCCACTTTCATTCAAACTCAGCAGTGGAGACAGTCTGGCTCCTATGGCCAATTCTCGGCTCCATGTTAATGTTTGTAAGCTTCCATATTTATTATGGCATTACTTATAGTTACCTGTGTTGCTGTTTGTGGGGAGAAAAAAAAAGTCTTTACTGTTTTTTTGTTTTTTTTCCTTTGTTGGGGACATTATTAATAAGAAAAAATGAAAATAGCTGTTATTTTTTATACTATTTTATGCTGAAGTTTTTACAGCTTTTGTAGCAGAGTGGTTCCACATGTCAATACAGTAGGTGGTTTTTGTGAGTCACAGTGATCTATCTGTAAAAGCAACACAGTGATGTATTGATATTATAAAATAAAATTGACACTTTCAAACACTTGAGTTTACTTCTCAAATTTATGAGCAAATGAGGAGTGGGTGCCAGGGTTTCTCTAGTCAAACGATTACAGGATTCTTACAAATATCATGGTATCCATAAAGCTGTTAAACACAGTCGCTCTCTAAGTGAAAGTCAGTACCTGAGGCTGCGTGAGCGGACCCTGACATGGTGCACTGGGTGAGCTCCTTCGTCGTCCACCACGCTCTCCGAGCTCCGCAAATGTTTGAAGAGGACGTGAAGGTCATCTTGAGTGGGCTGAGAGGGCAGCTGGTGCAGCAACTCATGGGAGGATGAGGACTATGTGGCAGGGGAAGAACAGAGTCATTTTTACAAAAAACAAAAAAACAAAAACAAAATTTTTCAAATTTAAAAAGCAGCAGACAGGGCAGGAGAAAATGTAAAAGTTCAGTGTTCAGATTATATATATATAAAATATTAAATAATATCTCAAAGACCCAAGGCCTCTGCACACCAATAACAACCAAATATAATCAGGCTGAAGGATTAAGGGAAAATCTGTTGCAATGAACATCAAATCAAAAAATGAGGTCACACTTTATTCAAAGGGGTGTGAATAAGACTGACATGACATTGTCATGAAAATGATAACACCTGTTATGAATATAAAGGAATCTTCATAAATGTTTATAATTGTTGTCATGAAGTGTCATTTGGTAAATAAAGACACGTATAATGCAAAGCTAACACTTTTAATGAATGTTTTAATGGAATTTTGCATTAAAAGTGTTATTTACCAAATAATGCCAAGTTGACCATTTTAATGGACTTTTAATGCAACTTTTAGTACAACTCTGATGAACATCTCCATCGTTATTTATTTCCTCAGAATAAACTGCCGGCTAATCTGTTTAGACTACAAATGGATTAACACAACATTGCATTCTCTTGAATTTTCTCTGTTCTGTGTATAACAGAGACTGGAATTAAAGGCACCATTTTAACAAAAGGTTTGGATTGCACTTCTGACCCAGACAAGCTCCACAGCGTCCTGTTCATAACTCTTCAACACGCTGTCAGTTTCTGGTCAGGAAGACGCATTTAGTTCAGTGTCCATGAGATGATATTCAGAAAGGATTTTTTTATTGATTGATTTTTAGTTACCTCTGCGATTAACTCTTTGCGTGAAGTGTATAATGTCTGCCCATGTGCACTAGTCAAGGGTGTTAATTATAATTTGTCAAAATGAAGAACAAGCTTCAAATTTTTCCGTCATTTAAAATATAAAAAACAAGAACAAAAAAGCTCTCCAAAAAACGGTCAAATATGAAAAATATTACGCAAACGCGGCCCCTCGTACATATCTAGACTAGTGATGCACCAATTGCAGCTTTCTGGCTGATCACCATCACTAAAACCCTGACCATCCGATTCTGATCTTGACCGATACCTATTTTCTTTGTCTGAAAAATTGCTTAATATAGTGACAGAGTAGGCAGCAGTGGGGTGATTATCGTTAACTGTGCAGAAGTAACCTGGTGGGTGGGTCAGTCAGTTCCCTCTCACAGCAGGGACCAACAGGAGAGGGGTCAATAAAACATTTACATTAACAAAGTCTAAAAGGCAAGATGTCAAAGCAAAAAATACAAGACCAAAAAAACTCCTGCTCTGCCACCACAGATCCTCTCCTGCTGCAGCAGGCTTCCACACAGGCAGAGTCACACATCGCCATGTTTCTCCCCCAGAGCTATAACATGTGACATGCAGGGTGGAATATGTGAGAAACCTCATCTCATGTTCCAACAGCATTAGAGGAGCTAGAGGAAAGCTGGAAGTTTTGCCACTTAAGAGAGAAAACAAACTGGAGCAAGCAACACAAAAAGAGAAGAGACAGGACGTGACAGGAAATGTGCAAAAGCAAGATGAGAGGGAGAAGCCATCAGACCTGGGAGGGAACTAAAGACGTGTCAACAGTGAACCAGAGCTGAGTGACTGGAAGCCTGAAAGGGGCTCTGTGAGGGGAAGGACTGACCTCACCATCGCTACGCTGTGCTCTTGGCCAGGCAGAGTTAAAGAAGTGACACAGGACACGGCCATTGTTTTCTTACAACTTAGTGAAGTTTCTGAGAAAACTACCAATGTGCAATCAAGATAATCGCCATAGAAACTATTCGCACCATGACTAATGGGAGTGTCTGGGCAGCACCCTGTTCTACTTCCTTCAGGGTAAAAGCTGAGAGAAGAAATGTGAAATCTTCAGCAGTCTCTGCTTTGCTGTGAGGTCATCCAGGAAAAACAAGCAGGGAATTTAAACAAGCCAAGTTATTTCACTGATTAGCATGGGAATTTCCTCTCTGGTCATTGTGGAAAAGGCATTTAGTTCACTTCCTAAATTGCTGTCTTTATTATTGAATAAAAATTTGTGGAGATTTGCTGTGTGTTGAGTTTGAGTAAAAAAAAAACCAAATGGTGTACGTTTTAGCTTCGAGTGAAACTTTGCTGCATTCATGTTCAGATTATTCCAGTCAGTCCAACATACGGGGGTAATTCCTGTTTCCTTCCATTTGGGATGGCTGCTGATAGCAGAACCAGTCATCTCTGAAGGGATGCATCATGTCCTGTGATGAATAACTGAGGACACCAGGATCATTCACCTCCGGTTAGCTTTAGTTAGTTTCACCTTCTTTGAAACAAATTCTAGTAGCAGAATCACATCTAGTTGTGTCAAGCCAGACCCAGGGTCAGAATAAAAACTACTGAAAATAGATTCCAGAACTACTTTCTTTAGTAGTTCTGGAACTAAATCATTGTCTCATTGTGTCCTGAGAAAATGTCTCACGACACAATGTCCTGAGACATTGTGTCAAATAGAGAGTATATTCAAGACGGGATGCACCGATCTGATTATTTGAACCGATACCCATATGAGATATATCATATATGGGAATATGATATATCTGATCAATAACCACTATTTATCAGCGAGACTGCAATTAATTACTTTAGGAATCAATTATTCTAACAATTAATCAGATGAAAAAAATCGGCACATACTGCAGATAAATAAAACATAACTTCATGTATTATTTATATTCATAGAAAACCAAACGTATTAAAATAACTCGCCAAATATGGAGAGATGAGTATAATGTTTGCAAACACATTTTAAAGAACATCTTCAAGTAACCGAAGCACCACAATAGAAATAAACTTTGGTTATTAATATGGGCCCAGTTTTACAAACTGGACCAAAACTGATGAGTTATTTAATAACAAACATTAGTGAACACCAATGTTGATGCTGGGAACAGCGCTGTATTGTTCCCAAAGTAATCAACTTTAACCTGAACATACCTAATAAAGTGGCTGGTAAGTGAATATCCAACAAAACAGTAGTGGGAGGCAAATGATGGAAAAAAAAATTAGAAATAGGGCAAGAAGTCAAGTCCCGTTCACAAAGTCTCACAATGTTGGAAAGAAGTGTGCAGTAGTGGTGCTTGCAAACACGCTCAAATTAAATATTTTCATAAACACTTTTACCAAGCAGAAAAAAAGATTAATAAATATTTTAATTGTTCCACAAATTAGAAATGTGTGACTTACTATTGCAGCAGCCATTGCAATGTTTAGTGTGATATACAGCAGAGCATGTTTGTCAACGTCAATTCTTCACAATGAGGAGAAAAAAAGAATGTCCTGTTTCAACAAGAACCAAACCACAAGAACCACAAGAACCACTGGAATGCACAGTTTGACCAATTCTGATGTAAATCCCATTTTATGGCACATTATCTTAGGTCAGTATCTGAGTCCATCTGGTTAACAGTTTCCATGACAATGCCGATGTCCAAACTGTTTAAGTGCAGGACAAGAAATCATCAGCTTCTTAAAGTTGTTGAAGATCAGTAGAAATTATTGAAAGAACAGAGCTTAGTGTCCTAGTTCTCCCAGTATTCTCATCGGTTAGAGACTGCATCTACCTACAAAATGCTGAAAAAGCTGCAAATACTTGGGATTATCTCAAAAATGTTTATAACCACCCATTTTCACAGTTGAAACACCAAATATAATTCAATATACCCAAATACGCAGAGTGGAAACCGTCTCAGCACCATCACAGAAGCTAATATCTTTTGTTAGTCTTGCTTATCTTTATTATTTAGGGTTCGGCCAATCAGCACCAAAAGAAATAAAAGGTGCTGCTGCACCAGCTGCTTTGTAGATGCCACCCAATAGTCTCTCAAGTAATGTTCAGCCTATGTATTTCAGCTTCCCAAGCTGCATTGTCTTGGGAATATTTCAGATCTGCTCTACAGAAATATCTGCCCTCGTTGGGTTTTTTGTAAATAATTTATTATTTTTCCATGAGAAAAAATAATAATAATAAAAAAATTTTAAAAGATCAGTGAAAAAGCAAATATTATTTTATACTTTACTATCCAACAACCAGAGATGTCTTGAAGGAATGAAAATTAACTAAGTACAACAGCTGTAAAAAGCTTCCAGAAAGAAAACTGACATTCAGCTATAATTTCAGATCATTACAAAATTTTAGACATCAGTACATAGAGACATTTAATATGTCATTTAATATGTGACATATTAAATGACTGACCTTTGATATTTAAATGCTATCCATGACCTATTTATAGGAAAAACATTGATCATTTCATTCCTTAAAGAGAGACTCTAGTCTGTAAATGTACTCTACAGTTAATAAGCCAATATTTCTTGGTAGATTTCTTTTTCTACTGAGTAATCGGAGGAGATTTACTGCTCAGCCAATAAGCACCAGAGGTTTACAAGATACCATGGCCCAGCTATCTGATTGTTGCAATAAGTGTGACTAACAGGAGCTAAATGCTCCCCTGGTAGCAGTTTGGCTAAATAAGTTGAATATCTGATGAAGAGTGTCAGACACAGAGTGATGTGTGGAGCTGAGCTTACAGAAACTGATGAACTGGGGGCGTTGGTGCAATATCCAGAGGAGGGAACAGACGCCACAGACCATCGTCGCCCATCCGCCCTGCTGAAAAAAAGCAACACAACAAGCAGCTCAGTGGTCGCACCAGAAACCTTCACTTCCTGTTCATGCTCTGCACTTCAAAAACTAGAAGCATTTCTGAAAAACCATCTTTCCATGCAGGTTTAGGCTGCGTGCAGACAGCAATTGGTGCGCCGACCCTTCGCTGCTTTCTTACCTTTCGGTGCGGGCCAGCTGGCTACAGACATAAACAAGGGAGGAAGATGCAAACAAATTAAATTAAACAGTGTTCATGGTAGTGGCATTCACTGTGTTGTTCAGTGTGTCCCAGCTCTTAGCCAGTGGCTGGCTGATGTAGCAGCTTCTCAACACCCACCCAAGCTGTTGTCACACTGCAGCACTCAGTTAGCTCATGGTTTAACACTGCATCAAACACACGCAGAAAATTAATTCTTAGCATTTCCTGCCCTCAATAAATCTTCTGCACATATCCTCTCACTTTTCCTTACTCTGAACTCTGAGGATGTGACCCAGTTTCACTCACTGATCTAATCCAAGGTGACATAAGCTTGAAGGTTTTACAGTGGAGACATTTGGCTCAATTCAGATTGTTCATGTGCATTCCATTTGCTTCCATCCTTCATAGGTATTTACATAATCCAACTTCTGAAGATATTTGACAAATATCACTGAAAGCTTCATCCATTTGCTCAGTAGCTTTTTGCATGTTTGAACTGGTCACCCAAAGCTAGATGCTAAAATAAGTTTCCCAGCAATTTCTGTTGAAACTTATGCTTATGCATGTAACTACATACAGCGTCTCTCATTAGTTCTTTTTCTTGCACTAAAACATGACTTTCCCCTCCGCTTAGGCAAGCCAGCACATGTTCGGCTAATCAGTCCTAGCATAACAAAATCACAGCAGAACTTGTGTGTGACAAACCAGAACAGCTGGCGTTGAGGCAGGTTGCGTCTAGAAGACATTTAATCTGCCACTCAGCTGGCTGAAACTTCCCCCTCACTACAGAAGGACAAATTTAGAATTCTGAAAATATATTACTTTGGAAAAACACACACACTGGCAGTGTCAGAAGTTAAAGAGCCACACCCTTCAATGTTGGCAACACTATAGTTTAGAGGTAAATCAATCAAGCCTAACAGACTTCATTGCTAATAAGAAACAGGACTGATTCCAAACTAGTCCTGCCAGAATCGTGAAGTTCCACTGAAACACTGCCAGCTGCTCATTGGTGCAAAGCTATTATCCGTAAGTTGAGAAGATGAGGAAAAAGAAAAGACATGTGTAAAAGAGAAATGAAGCAAAGCCATGTGATATGAAAGCCAGCTAACTTTCTTTGGAAGATTTTCATGAGACCATCACCAACCAAGAAAGGAAAACCTGTATTGGTGATGGCTTTATATCTTCTGGTCAACCAGCTAGCGCTTTTCTCTGGTAAGAAACACAGGGGTGATTTTACCAGTGGCTTATTCTTGAATGAACTGCTTGATTCCCAATTCCCAGTTTAAACTGTGAGAAAACTTGCTGCAGTGATGTGGATTTGCATAACTGGAATAAAAGCATCTGATTTACCTGCGGGCAAACTGGAAGTTGGAAGACGTGCTAGTGGAAATATTCCTGGGACTTTCTGAGGGACTGCTTCCAGCTGGAACAGACACATCAAATCTTATTTAAAGAGGCAGTATTATCTATTTTCCAGGCACATAGTGCATAATCAAGTAACTATGCTAACTTGAGTTGTCATAAAAATGCTATCTGATTGCAGACCAGCTAGTCTGAAGGAGCTGAGTTGCGGGGAAGAGCTCTGTGAGGCAGGATCTCAGCTTGGACACTGTAGCTTTAATATTTGTTGATACTAAGAAAAGCTGCATTCAAACCATATTTACATAAGTTAACCAGCTACATTTGTGAGCAAGTGTGTTCAAGGAAGTTATGAAAAACAAGATAATGAGAAAGGGGAACACCCCTCATGTTTTCAGAAGCAACATGAGGAGGATTCACATAGAATGACACATGGAATCAAAACAAAGTTAGGGAGAATGTATGCGACAGCACACATCAATGCCTTAATCCATTCATTCCAGACTGTTAAACATCAACGCGCACAGGGTAGAGTAGATAAACAAATACCTGTTGCAAGATGAAGAGGTGAAAGAGGTCGCGACAGCGTGGGTGACGGAGTCCCGACCGCCAAACTCCTCCTCTTGTTGTTACGGGAACTGAGCGAGAGCAGGGAATCAGGGAGGACAGAGGAAGTTAGCTCATGGTCCGCTGATGATCAACAAGAAGCACGCGGTGCTCACCCATCTTATCAGCGCTGCAAAATAAAACGGCGTCAACCTATGAACTGAAGTGGGTTATGGTGAAAAGGGAAACACCAGCCGCTTTTATGAGACCTGCAATTACATTTATAGACATGCATAACTGGAGAACCAATATAATCATATTATCTCTTCATGGACTACAATGAAGCCTTTAACGGCATTTTTCTGAGAAACATTCGATATATGGATAATGGAAAAAAACAAAAACAATAACCAATATATATGGTAGCAAAAATGTATTTCTTTTAGCTGAAATTACCCAGATTTAGTCCATTAAAATTTTGACCCAGTAACCTTCAGATCAAAGGTGACTGTCCACTTCCTGCATGACTCCACAGCATGCTCTGCCTGCAGGCTTTGTAATGCTTCAAAGAAATTGTGAATTAGCTCTGTACATTAGTCCTCATCTTACTTCCAAATCGTCTTCATTTCAGCTTGGCTATAATTCATGGAAAGAGGCTGGGTGTAATTCCATGTTGCTTTCTGCTCCTTATCCTGGCAATGCTGGCTTTCTTTCACTCTGGTGGCAATCTAAAACTACTGAGCCGACAAGACGATAACAGAGTCCGACGTTTCTGGGTCGATGCCGAGGGAGATTCAGCCACTTAATGTGGCCTCGACCCCAAAAAGGTTGGAGAAAAATGAGCCAATCAGGAGCCTGAGTTTCCCTAAGATTTGTTCCAACTTTATTCTTATCAGATAAAATAAACGGTCAGTCCTAATAAAGAAACAGACAAGAATGTGCAGCAGTAGCAGTGCTGTATCACACCCAGACCACATGAGCAGCTAGCAGCTAGCACTTCTAGATCTGTTTGCATTTGGACACAACACTGGACTGTGGGATCCTCACAAAAGGCCAATAATGTTGGTGATGAGTAAGATTTCAGATTCGATTGGCAGTAGATCTGAACCCATACTTTAGCGCATCTTAACAACTCTCACTGTCCACAAAGGTGAAGCAGTAATACTTTAGGAACATGGGGTGGGGGGGGGGGGGTTCACAATAATCAGAGTGGATCACATCATTGTTTGATGACTTGGCTCAAAATTACTGCTGAAAATCTTTGATGAAATGACTATTCCCATATGCCGTACTAATCAAACTGTTTCTGTGTCTTATAATAGAAATATCACATTTTAATCAGTGAAAACAAGCAGGTAAAGAGGACAGAACAATAAAAAGGTTCTGGAATTATGGTGCTCATGGTGGCTGTGCTGTGTTAGCTCTGATTTGTTCTTTTTGTTTGACTTTTTTTAGTTGGCGTGTTGCATGTTTGGACAACCATTCCCTCTGGTTTTGGATGCTGTGCAGATTGAAGGAGTCTGCTCTCATTGTATTATTTTCACAGCTAGGAGCAGCTAATTAGCATCTCTAAAGCTCAAATAATACCTGAACTTTGACCCGAGAAGAGTTGAAAAGAAAGCTTTGTAGATGCAGAGCAGAGAGAGAAGGAGGAAGTTCAAATCATCTCTTCTGTCAATCATAACAGGTAAGGATCATATTCTAGACTCCGCCTCTCAGCAAGGCTTTCTGGTCGTAAATCCAGGCAGAGATTTAAGGAAGAACAGCAAAAGCAAATAAGGTGGATTAGCAGCACTGGCCATCTGATGATGTCCTCCAGGACATTACAGTGGAATACAGTCTCCGCTGCCTGGATGCTGAGCTATTAGCATATGGCTGTCATACAGCAACAGTCTTCAGTCAGAGGTCTCTACAGATACGTTCCAAGACTGACTACTACCAAAGATCCTTTCTGCCCACAGCGTCTTCATCCACATCAACTCTTTGAAGATACTTGGATGATGCGAGTTATGACATTTAATTTTCCGTTGTGACAAAGTATTCTTGCGTTCAATACAGTTAGACATATAAGGAACTCCCAACATTTGCCTAATGTGATGTCATCAGAGGCAGACTTTTTCTTGAATTGATAATGATTTCTAAATCACAACAGCAAAACGAACAGAAAACCATGGCATGTTGGTGAGCCACTACATCTAAATGAGAGATTGGAAAGAAAAATAGGGGTAGTATCTTTAAATTTGACGTTTGTGTCTCCTTGAAGTAGGGAGCTCTATTTATTACCTGCAGTTTATAGAATCAGTCATTTGCATTGGATGATGGAATCTAATAGACAGTAAATACAAAGATGAAGAAATCTAGCAGGGATAATGACAAAGAGGATCCTCTCTTGTTGACAAAGGCAGGCAGGTCCTTCAGGCATTACGAGCCAGACGATGAAGGTTGATCGCATTTACCTGACAATTAAAAGCCAAACTACATTCTGCAACCGCATCAGCGACGGATATCGACCAGCTCTCAGTCTTGGTTTCGCTTTATGCGACAGCTGGCAGCAGACAATGAACACACACACACACCCACACACACGTCCTAACAGGCCACGTTTCTCCGTAGGAAACAAGATATAGGGCGGATGTAACCGACACTGAACGACTCCCAATAAACGTTCATTTGATAAATGTAGAAAAACACTTAAGAAATGGTAAAAATGCTGCGGTTGCAAGCTGTGAATCAGCTAAGCGTTCAACAATTGGCTTGTAAATACGGCGCAGCGGCGCTTCATAGACCACCGCGTATTTCTATTCCCAAACAGCCATTCGTTCGTTCGTTACCTTTTCGACCTCCTCATCATTGCTCCAGTCACAAAACTGGTTTTGTAGCTGGGCAGAACGGTCCAGTAGTAGCTTTGGTCGGACATATTGGTGGTTAAGCCAGTGGAAATATGAGAATCAGTGTGCTCTCATTACAGTGGGAGCGTCATGTTTAACAGTCTCTCCCCGTGACTGTGTTGCTGGCCGTGGTTAGGCCACTACGCAGAGTCCGACAGCGGAAACTCCATTCAGCTCAGGGACAAACTGACCCCAGACCCACAGCAGGGAAGCTCGCTTCTGCTGAGCGACCTTAGCGGCCATGTCGCTCGGTTTTCTTCTCGTGAGCAGAATTTCAGTAACGCTGTTTCTGTCCTCCGAGAAATGCAGCATCATACAGCAATGGGTCCGTCAGCTCGGAAAGGGATACAAACTTTCCTTCAGCAGCACCGTTCCCTGAACTGCGCAGGCGCGAGACCAGGGAGAACGGGGAGGCGGGTCTAGTGGTGCTTTCAGGAGCTACTTGAAAAACTGGATTCACCACTATTCAACAAAAAATTAATCGCGCAAAACAGTATTTTTTGTAATTTGGTATTTTTATGGTACACAAGTTTGACGAGCCCACAGATCCTAATAGCTAAAATGAGGTCGCGATAACGTGAAAAGCTAGATCAATCAATCAATCAATCAAATTTTATTTGTATAGCACATTTCAGCTACAAGGCATTTCAAAGTGCTTTACATCATAAACACAAATGCATGCAACATAGAATAAAATACCAAGGTTTTTTTTTGTTTGTTTTGTTTTCCCTTTCTTCCCTTTTCCCTTTGTCACGGAATTTAAGCGCCTGTTACCGCTGGACTCCACCGTCCGTTTAACCACGGGTATTCGCCGGGCCGTTGCCCACAACAGGAAAAAAAAAAGATTACATACATATCCACAAATTCAAATCCATACATAGGCTATTACATTTCAAATACAATTCTAAACAGGTGCGTTTTTACTTGAGATTTGAAGGAAGTCAGGGTTTCCGCTGTTTTACAGTTTTCTGGAAGTTTGTTCCAAATTTTTGGTGCATAGATGCTGAAAGCTGCTTCTCCTCTTTTGGTTGGTTCTGGGGATCCAGAGCAGAACTAGAACCAGAAGACCTGAGAGGTCGGGAAGGTTGATACAACAACAGCAGATCTTTGATGTATTGTGATGCTAAACCGTTCAGTGATTTGTAAACTAACAACAGTATTTTAAAATCTATTCTTTGAGCTACAGGGAGCCAGTGGAGGGACTTTAAAACTGCTGTTATGTCTCTATCTTCCTGGTTCTAGTGAGAACGCGAGCAGCAGCGTTCTGGATCAACTGCAGCTGTTTGATTGATTTGTTGGACAGGCCTGTGAAGATGCTGTTGCAATAATCAATGCGACTAAAGACAAACGCATGGATGAGTTTCTCTAGATCTGGCTGAGTCATTAGTCCTCTAATCCTGGAGATGTTCTTCAGGTGATAGAAGGCTGATTTTGATATAAAAGATATAAAAGGGTTATATCTAAAAGATATAAAAGGTTAAAATAGATATAAAAGATATAAAATAGATATAAAAGGTTTATGGCTTTGAAATTGTCAAATGTACAAGAACACTGAAAGATACTTTTTATTTGTTAAAATTGCATCCGTCTTTGCTTCGAACAGACTCAAATTTAACATAAACACATTATAAATAGTCTCTTACTAAACTATTCATTTCCAAAAGCATTTTTAGGTTTTCTGTCATAAACAACTGACTAAAACTGTCTAAAGCAATGTAGCACTGTTATTATCAATTATTAGCATTATTAATTACAAATCTGAAAATTGGGGTATATGCATTGAGTCCCTCTAAGTACTGTGTAGAACAATGTTTTGCAGCAGTTATAACTGCAAGTCTTTAAGGCTTGATGTATCTAGAAACAGATTTTTTTATTTTTACACAATCCTTACAAAAATACTTGTAAATTTAGTCACATTAGATGGAGTGTGTCTGGGACATCAAAATCAAGTCTTGTCAAAGACGAAAAACTGGATTTATGTCTGAGCTCGAACTCAGTCATTTCAGCAAATGAATATGGAATCTAAACCATTTCAATACCATTCTGGCAGCATGTGGATCTTTGTTTTGCTGAAGGCTGAACCAACTCACAGCACAGGTATCTGTAGCTTCTGACATGTTTTCTTCTGTGTGCCATGTATTCAGCTCCACCCGTCTTATTTTGAGCGATTTCACTTCCCCAGCTGAAGAAAAACATTCCTACACCATAATGCTGCCACTGCCATCATTCACCATGAGGAAGGTGTGCAGTGTTAATTTTCTGCTGCATAAAATTGTGTATATTTCCATGCTCTTTCCATTTTCAAATAATGGGTGACTGGATCTTTAGATGGAACAGAGCTTGGTGATATTTTCAAAAGCGAGAGATAGGGTTTGCAACTTAACCCTGATTAAAACTTCACCGCAACTCTCTCCCTGACCTGTCTGCTGTGTTTTTTTGTTTTCGTGATGCTGAAAAAACCTCTGAACATCTGGATTTATACTGAAACTGAACTACATGCAGGTTTTTTTACTAGGCAGTTTTTCATCGTTGTCAGTCGTACTCAATTTTATCTAAGGTTATAAAAGGGACAAATAAAAGCTAAATAATTTTCAGTTGCATCATATGTAAAAATAATATATTGTCTTCCACTAAAGTTTGTAGTTTGAGGGAGGTGGTTTTTATTTCCATTTTATCTATTGTTTTTGATTGCTTTCTTTATTGTTTCAGGGTATGTAAAGTATCTTCTAGTTCTAGTGTTAAGTGGTTTTTACCAAATAAAAGTTTATTAATATTAAACTTTTAAAGGTGAACTTTCATCATTATGCAATTATCATAATACAACTTAAAATTTATTGCAATAATAACTGGGAAAATCTATCATCCAGTAAAAGATATCATTTCAGGCCTAGTTACAACAAACAAAACGGTATAGAAAAATCAACATGGTGTTCTAGGTCATCAATTGTAATATCTCTATTGTGTCAGAAGAGCTGTGCAACAAATCTGATGTTATACGCTCTACTCAGATTAGAGGTAGCTCAAACATCAAGGTTTGACTGGCTTGGCAACAAATGGACATGTGACTTCCTTCATGCTGCTTACATACGTCATTGTTCTCATCCTGACATGCAAAGTTGAATTCCGACACAAGAACCAGCCTTGGGAAAACCCACAGCTTTGATGACTGTAATTGCATTTCAAGAGCAAATACGCCTGCATCTATCTGATTTAGACATCCAGCAACTGATTTTCAGCAAAAACAAAACACTGAGCTTATTATTATAAAATGATCTCTGAACTGCAGGAAGCAAAGATGTTCTGCTCTAGATTTTTTTTCCCTCCGTTCGCAGAAACCTGTTTGGGCAGTAAGACAACCTGATCTTTCATTCAAACCTTCCTGCCTCACCAAAGGGTCAAGTATACAAATACTTGGTGTGAGTGATCACAAGAAATCTGACAGTTATAGTGATCTGGCTGATCTGGTTTGAGGGGGGCAGAAAGGGCAGTTGAGGCTGACAGGGTGTATAGAAGAAGCAAGACAACAATACTTACACATTTCCCCTGCGTGGAAGGCTCAGCTCTTTCTGGAATAATGATTGAAAAGAAAAAGGATGAAAGAGTTAAAAGTTAGTATCTTCTAAAGAAAAAAATAGCATCGCCGACATAGAAATAAGAATACGAGTGGTTCTGAGTTCAATGTTTTTCTGCGTTACCTTAGCTGTGGTGCACTTCACTAAATTAATAATCTCCAGGTTTCATTTTGTTAACAGGATTGTTCTACAGTGGCAGTGTGGTTATGGATGGAAAGTAAAAAAAAAAGTATTTTCCCCTCTAGTATTGTTCACTTGCATGACATTTCCAGATGAAAACAATAACATACAACATCTCCATGAATCACCAACATGCACCTGAGCAATGAGCATACAATACATGTCTGGGATGTGCTCTAAGTTTGACTAAGAATGCATGCTGTTCAGATGTATTCAGATCATTAGAAGTAGTTAAAGTTGTGTTGTATCTTCAACATGATGTTGCCTGCAGCTGATTTTTCTGGAAAACATTGGCTCCGATTAGACAGGCCATGAAAAAACATCCAGTGACTTTGATCCATTTGTAGCTGCAGACGTTGTTACAGCTGCTGCTGTTCTTTGCTTTGCACATGGGCACAATATCACTCATTCTGTTGTCTCATTTCAACCTTACAGCTGTTACAAATCTATGAGTAGCCCCTAAGCTCACCAGAAGCTGTATACTCTGGATTGAATATTTATTGCACAATGAACTGCATTGATGCAGTTTCTGATAGGCTGTTATATTCGACATGTGATGTGTTCATACTTTCATTGCATGGTAATTATATATCCAGTGGATTGGGTAGACATCCCTGCCCCATGTGTGTATACATGGTATAGAATTTAGTAGCTGTGATGCTAAATCATGACACAACAATAATATGACATTGAATGTTTTCCTAACATTTTGCAGCCTTAATCAAAACAAAGAAATCAAGTCCATTGCATAATAAAAAAAAGCTGCACACTGATGCTGGTTTGGCAGGAGGTTTTAAACCTGGCTAAAGGAAGTAATTCCTCTCTATTTTATTTGGCTGCAGAAACACTTCATTACTCAGTTTCTAATACATTTATATTACCGCCATTTTAAATCCATTTTTATGAGAATTTATAATTTTGTTTTTTTTTCCTAATATTTTAATCCATTAACCCATTTTAAAATGAATTTGAGTCAAAGACAGTAAAAGCTAAAGTTGGGCTTATTCATCAGATGGCTGCTTTCTGTCACGCCCTCTTGTTTTCCTTCTGCTGCAGCGTAAATATCACGACCCAGTTCCTTTCAGAACAAGTGAGCCTTGTAGCCAGTAGTAACATGAATACAAATCTTTCATACTCCACAGCTACTGCATGCGAGTCCAGACACATTAAATGAGACTTTCCTGGTTATGACACTTTAGCAATGGCTGCTTGAGGCCATCTTACTTTGTGACTAAATGTATTGAAATGAAGGTATTTCTGCATAGAGACAATGATTGGACTCAAACCACCATCCACATTCACCTACTCTAAATATAATGCAGTGAATGGGTGGGAAAATCCAGTTTTAGAGAGCATTTCATCACAAAGCCATATTCTCTCTGGAGAATAGATCATCTACATGTACATGAATATAGGAAACAAGGATTCCCATCAAGAATGCACCCAGTGACATGGCACCCAGCAAAAAGATAAAAGGGATTTTTCAATCAATCTCTTTCAGGGATCCTTTGGGAGGGGGGGGGGGTGCCCCAATTACCAAGGCAACCACAGCATCGAAAGCAACAAGGAACATTTTAGAATGAAGGAGGAAAACAATGTTAGACCTGTCTGATGCATGTCATTGTTTACCCCAATCAGACTGTGAACCCGTT